TTATTGATATGTCAATACAGATTTATTTGAATATAATCGTCTCCTTCAAAGAATACGGTTCAAAACCTGCATTAAATAAAAGTTAATAGTTAACCTGTTATTTATCTAAGATGTCGTTCCGAAGAGTTTTGTGACTGCCAATGGAATACAAAGTCAATAATTCGTTTTTCTGATTTACCAATCATTGTCCAAAAGTCAGATTGCCGGCTTTGATAATAGTCGACTCAAATGGCTTCTACTATATTACAAAAATATTAAAATTGTTGGAGTAATCTTGTGAGGTTGATTAACCTTTTTGCCTTGAAGTAGTCATGCATTCCAATTTAAAAGGTGAGATAGCTATTATACAATTAAATTAGTTTACATTCCCAGTGGCCCATGATTCTTCTATAATGTATATATATATCTCCCTATTCTTATATAAGAAAAAAGAAATTGTTTTGACCATATAGAGCTGCAATGATCTTTGAGAGAATATTAATTATTAAGTTTCATAAGTAGTCATCCAGTAATCAAATTTTTAGGTGAGTCTGCCCACAGGCTTGGGCAAGACATTCATAGCAGCTGTTGTTATGTACAATTTCTACAGATGGTATCCACTAGGCAAGATTGTTTTTACTGCACCCACCAGACCACTTGTGGCTCAACAAATAGATGCCTGTTATAATATTGTAGCTATACCGCCGAGGGATACTATAGAAATGACAGGTAAATTATGTTTACATTTACATTATATTTACATTCAAGACATTTAATAATTCAGACTTCATACTAATATTATACATGTGAAAATAAAAGTCTGTGAAAGTAAAGTCTGTCTGTCAGTTGTCTGTCTTATTCACACCAAAACTACTGAACCGATTTAGATGAAATTTGATACACAGATAGCCTAGAGCCTGAAAAAGGACATAGGCTACTTTTTCATGCGAAAAAGGGTTGAATGGAGGGATTACAAAATTGTAGGAAAGTATCATCTTTTTTAGAGCTAAAAGCTTGAAACTAATTCTTTAGGCTGTGGGTTTGATATAAATAAATATGACATTAGGCTTACACATCAAAATAACAGGTAGGCTCTAATTTCTAAAAATATAGTGTGAATTACCCAAAACTGTGGTATATTAATTGGCTAAATTAATTAAATCTACACACAAGTATCCAATTGCCTTTTAGGTCACATGCAAACCTCGACAAGAAAATTACACTGGCAAAATAAAAGGGTATTCTTTGCTACTCCACAAGTTATATACAATGACATAAAATCAGGTATATGTCCTGGAGATAAGATCCGTTGTTTGGTAATAGATGAAGCTCATAGAGCTAGGAAGAATTATGCATACTGTCAGATTATTAATGCCTTAGATGATATGGGACACAAGACATATAGGATATTGGCATTATCTGCAACACCAGGTAGTAAAGTGGATGATGTTGTCAATGTAAGTACCATTATTATGAGTTTAATTACCATAGACAATAAGCTCTACTAAATTAAAATAATAATGAAATCAATATTTTGTTTTAAATAATGAATGATTGTGAAGTCACAGATTGAGACATAATTTTTTTTAACTATAGGTATAAATGGGCAAAAAGAATTCTATTGATAAGCTATTGATAAGCTTTGCTGTTATTAAAAAAGAATATTCAATACCTCACAAACAAAAAAAAATTAATTATGTGCATAAAATAGACAACCTTGTTAGAGCTTGATCGAATTATGATTGAATGGTATCAGTTGTACATTAGTTTGTATAAATATTATTCTTTTATTATGAACTAGGTCATCAACACATACATCTAAGTGATAAACTCATACTTTGATTTAAAAAAATAAACTAGCAATAAAGGGTTTTTCTGGACCACAGAACTAATTTTAATGGCAAAGCATTCGGTTTTGAAATTAGACTTTTCTTCTCACAGGTTGTGAAAAGTTTGCATATAGCAAATTTAGAACTGCGATCAGAAGAGTGCATAGATGTGGCACGTTATAGTCATTCTCGTAAAATCAACACGGTTATTATACCTTTAGGAACAGAGCTGACTCACCTGAAACAAAGATATGTTGAGGTAATTCATATAACTGATTTTTAATCTAATCAGCTACGATAAAAACCATACTAATACATTGTATATAATAAATATGCATATAATGCAATTAAAATGATAATTTGTGAAGTATACAAATCGAAATTAAAAAAAAGATATGAATAAGCGCTAGGTACTAAAATGTTTTTAATCATAGATTTAATTGTTTTAATTCGAGACTTTAAACAGATTAAAATTAATATTTATAAGTTTCTTTGTGTTCTTATATCGGCAGCGTATAATTGTTAATTTTAAAGATATTTAACAACAAGCAAACGACAGGTGGCACGCGATTAGTTTCAAGAAATTGGTTATAATATACCTAGTGTAATAGTTTCATAATAGTCACAACGAAGCTTGAGGGAATACGACTAGATTTTAAATAAATGTGTAATAAATACAGTAAAAGCTCCTTATTCGCGTTTCCTTCATTCGCGGCTTACTATTTGCGGATTAAAAAAATGCAACCCAATTCCTATATTTGGGGCTAAAAATTTCTTTATTCGCTGGTCTAATCAGTACACCAAATAAAAAGGATTCCAATATGTTGGTATCCCACCGAATATCCTTTGTAAATGCATCGTTAAATGTATGTCGTAATTAGTTAATTATTGGTTATTTTTACAGATTCTAGACTATTATGCAAGACGACTGAAACAATTGAACATTCTGCCCCAGAATCTAGGAAATTTATCAAAAGGGAGAATAGTCATGATGTACAAAGACTTCCAAACGAAAGACCGCAGTAATAGGTATAAATTTGACTTTAATTAGAATAGAGCAAGTAGCTTTTTTTAGGATAACTCGTGGCCCGGAGGCTTTTCTAGTTTCATCAGGACAGTTGGGTGAGCACGGGCTCAGCCAGGAGAGGTAGGAATTAATAACAGCTACCCGAGCGTCTCCAAAGATCCGACGAGAAACTCAGCGAGCTGATATTTCCGTTAGGTTGCACTTCGAACCCTTTGCCGAGTTCGAAGAGTACGGGTCCCGTAAAGTCCCATAAGCCTGCTCCTAGTCTTGTTTTTTTCAACCAGGTCAACCAGCAATACCCGCTTTTTTTTCTACCTAATCTGATAGCGTTGAGGGAGGCTATTTCAGCGTAACCTTAGCTAGTAGGTGAGCGCACGGGGCTCAAACCGGAGTGATGCTAACACTGACCCTAGCAAGAGCAGTGCTTCGCAGAATCTACCACCGGATCGAAAACGCGACCCACTGAGAAGATCCGGCGAGAAACTCAGTGGGCTGTGTCTATGGGTTAATTCGCTCGTCGAGCCCTTCGTCGCAAGCGACGGGTTCAACGAGGACGGTGACCGGTGCTTGTGGTGCTTAAAAGCACCGTTAATGGATCGGGAGGTTCCGCAATGACGTGCAATCTTGTGCTGAAGGCGTCTAGTACTGAGATTAATGGATCTGATGGATCCGTAAGGATGTGTACAAAAACAAATTAATGCCCTAATTTCGACAGGCATCCACAACACAACTACATTATGAAAGATTTCATGATGCTCATCGCTCTATTCCACGGGCTCGAGCTCTTAACCAAGCATGGTTCGAGAGTATTCCTGAATTTCTTTGATGAGCACCCTGAAAAGTCATGGATTCAGTCTGATGATAAATTAACGGGACTTTTGGAACAGCTGAGAGACGATTTAGGCATCAATCCTATGTCTTTGAATACCAGCATTTTGCCCGATGGAACTATACCGGAGGTAAAAATTTATATTATTAAAGGTAACAACTGTCAGATTGTCAAAACTCCCAGGGTACATAAATTAAAACAAAATATTAATTAGTTTTTAAAGTGGATCTAAAATGTATCCTAGGACCTAGCCGAATGATGTAACAATTACTTCCTCATAATCCATTCGTAATAGTAAAAAGCATCTTTAAAACTCGAATTCACATTTTTAATTCCTAGGATTTTCGAAACTGATTGTTAAGCTGTCACCTCTAATGTCTACCACACTAAGATAAATAAAGCTAAGAAATTACCTGCATACTGGTGCGAAGAACTATCGTAAGCCACCATCTTGCTGCGAGTTATGCAGCGTGTAGCATGCGACCAGTTTTAAACGAAAAAAAAACTTTGGAGACTTCACTTACATCAATCTGAAAGGTGTATTCACATTTGGATGTCTATAGGCTCCAAGCACTTAAGGTTACTAACCCCTTGTAGGCATGAAAGCTCAATTTTTTATTTTTTATTGCTCTTTAGGCAGACGAGCACACGGTCCACCTGATGGTGAGTGGTTACCGTCGCCCATGGACTTCAGCAATGCCAGGAGCAGAGCCAAGCCGTTGCCTAGCGCAATTAGTATTATTTTAAGAAAATGTATGTACTTATCTGAAATTAATATATTTCTTTTACAGATTCCTAAAAATTTAAGATTTGGCCATCCCAAATTCTATAAGTTGAAAGAAATAATGATGGAACATTTCACGAAGGCCCAACAAAATGGGCAGGACACTAGGGCCATTGTGTTCTGTGAATATCGCGAGAGTGTGAACTTGGTGCACTGTCTGCTGCTGCAGTGTCGTCCTCTCATTACTCCTCAGACGTTTGTCGGACAAGGAGCTTCAGGTTCGTCAAATTAAAATTTAATTTAATTTTTACTGGTGGTAGGACCTCTTGTGAATCCGCACGGGTGGGTAGGTACCACCGCACTGCCTATTTCTGCCGTGAAGCAGTAATGCATTTCGGTTTGAAGGGTGGGGCAGCTGTTGTAACTATACTTGAGACCTTAGAACTTATATCTCAAGGTGGGCGGCGCATCTACGTTGTAAATGTCTATGGGCTCCAGTAACCACTTAACAACAGGTGGGCTGTGAGATCGTCCTCACATCAAAGCAAAAAAAAAATTTCAATAGACAAATATTTAATATTACGATTTTTATTAGCTATGATGAACAAACGAACTCACAGTCTGTCTAGTGTTAACTGGTCTCTGAAGTTTAATCGGATTAATCAATTTATTTCTTAAATATATTATAATATTATATGATTTTAAATTTCGAAACAGAACATAAAATCTAAAAATTATTTTTAAAAATCACATGAAGATGAACATCGATCGAATCGCATGACGTCATATCGTCTTCTCGCATTAAAACTGTATAATCTCAAAACTTACTAATTTTACAGGAGAGTGTTTTAAAGGTTTAACATGTGATATTTATAATATTAATCATATTTGCAACATTAAATTTTTTGTTTTTTACCAGTTACATTATCTGTCTTTTAAAGTAAGATAAAATTATGTATTAATTTTGTTAATAGTAGTCAAAACATAGGTAAATTAAAAAAAAAACCTAAACTAAACTACGCTCTTTTGACAGTATTTATGAGAAAAATACTGGTGATACCGAATGATTCCGAATATTAACTCGATTTCGAATATTTTTGGAACTTGTACCCTTTTAATGCGAGAAGACGATATGTGGTTAATCGTTGTGTGTTCGTGTAGGATCTACGGTGGGCTTGTAGTTTTATTTTGATCTGTCTGTGGTGAGCAGGTAAGGACGGCAGGACGGTGGTGTCGCAGCCGCAGCAGCTGCGCGTGATGCGTGCGTTCCGCGCGGGCGCGTGCAACACGCTCGTTGCCACGTGCGTCGCCGAGGAGGGACTGGACGTCGGCTCCGTCGACCTCATCCTCTGCTTCGACATCTCCACGAGGTCGCCCGTCAGGCTCGTGCAAAGGTCAGGCTGCACTTACATTAGATCTTCTCAGTGGGTCGCGTTTCCGATCGGGTGGTCGTTTTTTTTTGTCCGGGCGCTTTAGGCCCGGCCCGCGAATACATAATAATAATCTGACATAATCAGAGCCCTTGTTTATTTATTTTAGGATTAATAACGGAACCAGGATTTTTTATTTATTTTGTATAAAGTTTTGCAGTACCATATAAACTTAGTATAACAGTTATACCAATATTTATATACCTGTTTTAACTTTTTCTAACTTTTATATACCGGTGGTAGATTCTGCGAAGCACGGCTCTTGCTAGGGTTCGTGTTAGCAACGTCATCAGGTTTGAGCCCCGTGAGCTTACCTACTAGTTAAGGCTACGCTGATATAGCATCCCAAGGCTCTCAGCTTAAGTAAGAAAAAAAAGAAAGAAAATCTTACATAACTTTTACACATTGTAGTATTCAAATCAAATTCATTTTAATTTACAGGTTCTCGTAAATAACGTACTTTTTGAGTATATGTTAAGAACCAATTCCAAAAAAGACAAGTATTTGGAAAAATATCAAAACAAACTATCAATATTTTGTTCATTATCATTTAGATACTAAAAGTTTATTTATTTAGTACATAGATAATATCATCGAGATTAAAGTTAATTTGATAAATGTTTAACGTCACTTAAAATTATCTCAAAATGTCTATATAACACTTAGAACACACCCTACCACCAGCAATTGCGAATATTTAATAAATTTTACAGATTTTATATTTAATACTCGATGTTGTTGTTGTCGTAAAACTATTGTATATTTTCTGTAAGTATTGATGTAATACTGGAAATAGTTCATGAACACGAGTAATTTTGAAAAAAAAATCCTGTGGGATTTGAACTTCGAGATAGTCGTATCGCTCAAGTACACCGATCGTCTTATCCTTCAGGCCACGGAGATTACAAAAGTGGCCGGGGTCACTGACGTCGGTTGTATTAGGTCGGTGCGCGGACGATGTTATCTGTTCTTTTTACTTAATGAATTTGAACACTTTTTAAAAAGCTTAATCTGAACTTAATTTAACCTTACTTTGAAATCAATAGTGTAAAGAATTTTTTTGTATATGAGTATAAGATTTAAGATTATCAACCTGCAGATGTATATTCAAAGGCTCGTCACACGCAGCGTCTCACCTCTGATGAACTAGTGGACCCGAAATATTCGAAATTCGACAATAATTAATTGAAATTATGACTTTATTACATTTAGGGTTCTATTATCCAAGACTATTAAACTTCTATAATCACAGATTTCGCCAAAACTACACTATAGACAAATAATATTAAAGATAAACAATATTAACCTATTCTTAATTTGACCATAGACTTTAAGCAATAACAAAAGTTTGACAATAAACAAAGAGTATATATATGTGTGTGTGTCTCAAATACATGGTAGTGTGTGATTTTTTTTTATAGATTTAATATATTATTAATCCCTTTTTTTTATATTTGCACTCCTTCTTTATATTTTCTATAAGTGTGAGAAATTTCATACTCCTCCGTCCGCGCAATTTTCGTAAAAAGGGGTACATATGTATTAATATATAGATAATGATCGTAAAATATTAAATTATATAGGTGCGGTAGGACGGGTCGCGAACGTGGAGGACAAGTGTATATTCTAGTCACGGAAGGAAGAGAGCATCAGGTAACATTGTCTTGTATTATATTTTGAGGAAGCAAGGGATTATGGTATGAAATTTTGATCACGGGGCGGAGTAGCATGAGGTCTAAGTCTCAGTTGTATGGTAAAACGGTCACCCCGCCATGCAAATCGGAACGCATTACTGCTTCGCGACAAATGTAGGAAAGGTTACCACCAATAAAGATATTCAGTTTAGATTAGATTAAAGTACCTAAAAGACAGATAAAGCGCTGTCGTCGCTATAATCAGACTTGCGATAATATTTATTTTGTTTGTAATACTAGTATTGCTAAAATCATTTTATTAATTGATAGACCATCATCCTATAATAGGTTTGGTGAATTAGCAATCAGTCTCGCCGCTATTGAAAAGGTCACAGTAACCTGTGTCCATTTCCTTAGCATATGACATTCCCGATCCTGCGGAAAGTATGGAAAGCAGTCAACGTCGCCCCAAACACGTCATTTCGGATCCTCTCGATCCACTAACGGTGCTTTTAGGTAACTCAAGCACCGGTCACCGTTCTCGTCGAACCCGTCGCTTGCGACGAAGGGCTCGACGAGTAAATTAACCCTCAGACACAGCCCACTAAGTTTCTCGCCGGATCTTCTCAGTGGATTGCGTTTCCGATTCTGTGGTAGATTCTGCGAAGCACGGTTCTTGCTAGGGTTCGTGTTAGCAACGTCGTCAGGTTTGAGCCCCCTGAGTTCACCTACTAGTTAAGGTTCCGCTGAAATAGCCTCTCAAGGCTATCAGCTTAGGTAGGAAAAAAAAATTTGCATATGTTTATATTATTTTATTATTACACTTTCAAAGCCCTACGTCTATTTGCAGACATTAATGGATTGTATGCGTCAAAGGGACGGACTGAACGCGAAACTATTGCAGTCAAACGAAATCAAGGAGAGCCTTTACAAGCTTAATCCGCGCATGATGCCGCACGATTTCACGCCCAAATGTCAGATGCTGCACATCACGGTCGCCAAGAGAAACGAAACGACACAAAACAATGAGAAATGTAAAAAGGTATGGTATTGAGTGTTAGAAATTGTCGCGGCCTAAAGGATAAGACGCCCGGTCCGTCGTCTCGAGCGATGCAACTGTGCCGATGTTCGAAACCCGCAGGCTGGCACCTTTTTTCACCTTTTTTTTTTTTTCAATATAAGTCTTGTTCAACGAATGATTTGTACAATAAGGGAATTACATATAATTAAACCCGACAAAATTATGATTTAATTGTAGTAATTTGAATAATGAGGGTAGCCACCACCATACTGCAGACATCTGCCATGAAACAGTAATACGTTCTGATTCGAAGGAGTCGGGATAGACATTAAATTTTACAATTAAATTACATATAAAATATGATGTTTGAAATCTTTCAAGCTGAGCGAGCCGCAAGTTCCTTTTTTTCACTCGCTCAAACCTCACTATCTAATGAAAATACTGCTTTGCATAGATACAGGCGGAACAGTGATGCCCGCCCATCCGTGTCTTACCATATGCCACCAATAATGAGGCAGTTAGATGTCTTTCCGTTTGCACAGGGTCAGAAGAACATTCGTTCAATGCTGCTAAGCAAATCGACAGAGCCTTCGAATACAACGAAAAAATCAAAAGGCAAATCGGAACTCATAACAAATGAACAATACGGCAAATTGTCGCCCGAGACCATCTCTGAGAATAAATACTTTGCTGAACACAAAGAATACTGGTCCATGGACAGAGGTCAGTTTTTTTTGATAATTATTAGCTCAGCTCACGGCTGAGCGATCGCGAGCACTTGTTGATTGAATTCGTAACTTCGTTTAAACATTTGAAGTAACGGAAAAAATACTCATGTACATGAATTACAATAAATTTATATGTAATAATAATATACCGTTATAACCCATAGACACTCACGGTTAGGCTGGTCCACAAGTTTAAAGTTGCTCAGCGAGCTATGGAGAGGGCTATGCTTGGAGTTTCTCTGAAATATCGAATCTGGGACGAGGTGATCCGACAGAGAACCAAAGTTATAGACATAGCACAGCGAATTAGTAAACTGAAGTGGCAATGGGCTGACCATATTAGCCGGACAAATAACTGTTGGGGTAAACGCGTTCTGAGTGGTGACTGCGAACTGGAAAACGCAGTGCAGGACGCCCTCAGGCTCGGTGGAGTGATGATCTGTGCAGGGTGGCTGGCAGGAACTGGATGAGAGAAGCCGAGGATCGTGCTCAGTGGCGAACAATTGGAGAGGCCTACGTCCAGCAGTGTACTGCTATAGGCTGATGTTGATGAAAAATATACTTGATTATTTTCAGAAACATATCTAAAGGATGATAGTAATGTTGAAACAAATTTGGATATGTCGAAGTGGTTGGAACTGCAGAGAACTCTACAGGACACTGTGAACGTTGAACATTCGGAGGACACAGTTCTTCTGACCGAACTACTTCAGTTCAGTAAAACGAAAAAAAACGAATTGAAAAATTCACAGAACAGTCTCGGTAAGTATTTAGCGGTAGAAGAAATTATGTTTGAACATTACAAGGTACTTGTCATACTCGAGGTGCACGTGCGCTCGTGACGAGGTCGCCTGATGAAGTGAAACAATGAACGTTAGCAAACGCGTTCCTCGTGCGTATGCGTGCGAGAGAGATAGGTGTAGGCTGCGAGTGAGACAGTACCACTGACTACTGTCGCATCGTGTTACATAGTTTATACGGAATCCAGTGGTCGTCTTGCTAACAAAATAATATTTATTGCGACTGTAAAGCATATTTTTTATTAATATTGTGAGTTACAACGGCTGTCCTACCCTTCAAACCGAAACGCATTACTGCTTCGCGGCAGAAATAGCGCGATGGTGGTAACCTACCCGTGCGGACTCACAAGAGGTTCTACCACCTACTAACTTACTAGTTATCTGAGTCAACATTTCAAGTTAACTGAAACTTGAAGCTGTTGATCTGCAGTAAGCTGATAGCGGAAACGATATTACGTATTAACTGTCCTAATATCGTTATTGGTCACTATCAAAATTACATTTTTTTTGTGGCTTTAAAAAATAGTATATATTACACATTTTCAGCTTCACAAGAATTCCTCACAAAATTGCAAAAGCCCTCTCCGGTTAAATCGAAACAGGCAAGGAAGAGGCAAAAGATGGCGAGCTCGCCCGGCAAAAAGAACGGAGATATCAGGGCCTTATTCAGTACGGCGACCAAGTCGACCAAAAGCTACACGAAATTAATCAACGATTTAGGCCTCCAAAATGATAACACGGCACCCGTTGCCTTCGTCGACCTTCTTGTGGATTTGAACTTAAATAACTCGAACTCGGAGAACAAATGTTATATCTGTGAAAACTTGTGCGAATGTAAAATTTTCAACGGTGTGTCAGATAAAAAACAAACTTCCGGTCTTTTGATCAATTTGAATGAAATAAATTTACCCGATGTAGATCTAATCGATTACATTTCTGCGAAGTCTATTAGTGAATACCGGAATAGGGCTGTCGAGGATCGAGCTTCACCTGACGTCAACAAAACAGATTTAGCTGAAAAAAATGTTTCAGCTAACTTTGATTTAGACTTGGAATTCGACTCACAGATCTTTAGTGAGAAATCGAATGACAATGAATTTGAAAAAGATGAGGTGAATAGAGAGAACAATTTTGATATAGGAGAACTTCATGATATATTTGCCAACAGTAGTCCTTTGGACAATTTTGAAGCTGAAAAAACTGATAAACCCGAAGAAAATGAGAAGGTACTGAGTTTCTTCGGTCTTGACAGCGTTGAAGATATATTTGCCGATTACGAAGATAGTTTCGATAAGAAATGCGACGAACCAGAGATGAAAGATGTCGAGGCAGATAAAACTGATGATGTGACATTCCTAAACGTTCGTTCCACAACAGAAACTCACAAACCAATGCCAGATGAAAATCCGTTAAGTCCATCTATTTTATCTGGAAGAGTTAAACCCAAAGAACAGGTGACGTCGCCTATACTCTGTTCCCAAAAACGCAAATTCGAGCTGAGCACCAAGAAAGAAATACATCGGAACTCTACACCGATCGCTAAAAAGTGTCTATTATTTGATAAAATTGACAACAATGCAAGTTCTAAAAATAAAAATACATCAAACACAACCGAAGATAGTATGTTTACAATAACACAAGTACTTGAATTAATTAACAAAACAAAAGACGAGAAAGCTCTTGAATCGGTAGCTACACATTCAAAAACTGATATAAACGACAATGAGGATAATTTATGCGTTTCTCCCATTCTACCATCACAGACTGAACGCAAGAAGTTAACCGATTTGACGAAATCTAATAGAAACTCTTATTCCAGAGATCTTTCACAAAAGTCAAGTATAATAATTTCAGATAGTGACAGCGATTCCAAGGACACAGTCATCTATGATGCGGCTGATGTATTTGGCAAAAGCGAACGTGAAAATAATAGTGAAAGTGGCGGCTCGATTTCTCATTCCGACAAAGTTTCTAGTTTAATGCAAGATAAATTCCCTGTACAAATTGACTCTAAACGTAAATTAGAAATGGACGATGACAAGATAGCTTCTCCGTATTTTAATAAAAAACCAAAGTTAACAAAGAGCCCCGACAAACAGAGAACATTAAAAGAAAAGATTTTGGCTTCCGTTAGTTCGTTCAAGGTTAAACAAAAGTTCGACAACTTCCATTGCTCCGTTTCCCAAAGCAACGTCATGTCGCAAAAGGAAAATAGAAATCCGCAATTTGCTTCTCAATTCGCGAAAACTACAAGCGCTACCGAGAAAGATGTCAAAGGAAATTTGGAGTTCTTGCAAAACTATCGACGCGATCCAAATAAGCTGCAACAAAGCTTAATGAATAAGTTTAGTACAATATTTAACAATAGAAGCCCTGAGAAATTACAATCACCGCAAAAACGGAAAATTGCTTTCGACGACAGCGATGACGATTTCATCTTAGATGATAAAAATAAATATGCCGACCGTCCCGCGCGAAACAGTTCGCTCAAAACAATCAAAATTAAAAAAGTAAGTGACACACAAAATCCAATCATTGATTATTATTAGAATTATCACATTTCGTCTTCTCGCATTAAAACTGTATAATCTCAAAACTTACTAATTTTGCAGGAGATTGTTTTAAAGGTTTAACATGTGATATTTTTAATATTAATCATCTTTGCAACTTTTATTTTTTACCAGTTACATTATCTGTCTTTTAAAGATAAAATTATGTATTAATTTTGTTAATAGTAGTCAAAACATAAGTAAACTACGAAAAACAAAAATTAAAACTTAACTACGCTCTTTTGTCAATATTTATGAGAAAAATACTGGTGATACCAAATGATTCCGCATATTAATTCGATTTCGAATATTTTTTGGAAATGGTGCACTTTTAATGCGAAAAGACGATTTGTAAACTCAAATGTCAACCTTAACTAAATTAAGATGAGAATTTTCTATACGTAAGTCTTCATCGTTATTTACAGAAAAAAAAGAAATGTAACTCTTACTTGGATCTGGAAGCGGAACTGTCTGATGAAGATGATCGCGACAGTGGTGATGAACTGTCGGACGAAAGCGTCGGTAGTATCATCGACTTCATATGTGACGACAACGTAACGCAACACGAGGATGTGCAGGCACTTTACCTCAAAACAACAAAGTACGTATTATCCCATTTAAACACCCTATTTATTCCCCCCCTGATAACCCGGTCAGGATATTTAGACAAAAGTAATAAAATTATTGTATATCATTGGTTCTTGATACGGGTGCAAATTTTCAAGTTAATCGGAGGTTTTGAAGTTAGTAGAAATTACGCTGAAGGCTTCCGTTGCAAAATAGATACAGATCAAACTATTCAAATATTCTATTCTATTCTATTCAAATAAGCTATTCAAACCCTATTCAAATATCTCTGAAACCGACACTATCGACATGTAAAAATGCATGCATTTCTTACGCTGATTGATAAACAGCTGAACAGATTACATTAAGATCTCAAAATAATCAAAAAATACGGCTATAGCCCATCCTATACCTATGTTTGTAACTAATTCCTAATTTCACCGCAACTTTCCTTTGATTTGAACCTAGTGAATGTACCACTGTATGACACGATCTTGTTTGCATGTTTATAATATTAATCGGTTTCGCAGGAGTCCCCTAAAACAGGGTGGCTTCAAAATACCGGAGTTACCTAGAAGACTGAAGGAAGATATTTTATCGCAATTTGTTGAAGAAGATTCATACGAAATGGTACGGTCATATTCATTTTATAACTGATATTAAAACGTAGAAAGAAGAAAGAAGCGAATTAAATTGCGGATTGTAAACTTTCATTTTCTTCTTGTATGAGATTTCTGCGCCTAAGAATTCCATGACGGTCTGCAGATCTTGGGACTGGACCGCCGGCCCAAAGTTGTCCTTAGGACCCTACCTATCAAACGACTGTCCTTGCACTTCACCTGATGTCCATCCTCTGCCCGGGCTCAGAACCCACGGGGGGGGGGGGTGTTTACCTGTGGTCAACACTACAACCAGACTCGCGACGTCACCCCGAGGACGCCCAAAAGTTTGGTTCAGAACGCGATATCCGGCTTCGATCCATGGGCGACTGGATTGCTTTTCCACAGTACATTGTGAAGCTGACCTTAGTATCGTGATAATTAAACAAAGTTTTATTTGGTATTTCGGTGAAAGCATTTATTTGTCCCTAGCCCCAGCGCGTAACATTGCGTAACTTGACCGCATGACTATTTCCAAGATTTTCATACTTTTAGCGATTATCACAGCGCAGCGTGACCGGTATTCATTAGTAAATATTAATCCAGAGTACTGTTAAAATGGTTTATCTAATAATATTACAGGATAGTTTCTGTGTAGACTCTCATATTGGACTTACTCAAGTCAATGAAGTTTCTGCACTTGAAGTCGCGGAAATGGTTTTAGAAAAACGCAGAAAAAAGAAGAAAAAAAGTAGAATACAGGAGCCACAGTCTCCAGAAGCTGGTGACAGTCCTCTTGTGAAGCGAAGTAACAAAAATTGTAAGAGGTCAATACAAAGCGATTCGGATGACAGCAGCTGACGTATGTTAATAATAGATTATAATATTGAATTTCAGAATATGAATTTGAGAAAGAATCATCAAAATAACTTGTTAGTAGTCTTTTTCTTTTTAACCGACTTCAAAAAAGGAAGATGTTCTCAATTCGTCTATATGGTTTTTTTTTTAAGTTTTTAACAACAACTTAGCAACAACGAATTGCTGTAACTGTTTAAGAGACACGCTGAATGTTCTTCTAGACTCTAGAGCAATTTTGTGTGTTACATATTTATGGTTTCTTGCATTTCAAGAGTTTCCAATCTTGATGGATAGTGTCGTACACTTGTAACCAAGCCAACAATTATATTATGGCCTACTAGAAATTCAATATTAAATTTAAATTTAATTTGTTAATTGATGATCTTTGTATTCGTAAATTCGTATATACATTTGGTTCTGTGATATAAATTATCAATCTAACTGTAAATATCAATTATAATCGAGATATATTGTACTACGAATTATGTCATTTGTAAATAATAGTATATTTGTAATACATACATGTAAAGATAAATATGACCAGTTTTTTCTTCCATACTAAAACTACAGAGTAACCTCGCAAAAAATATACATACCTTACCATCGAAAGAAGATTGATGTTGGTAAATGTCCGCAATGTCAATAATCTAAAGTATGGAGTTCTTATATCCACTATATAAATAGTATATAAACTATATATTTAACATTCTAATGGATTTAACTACAATGAAACCAAAAATACTACTTATTTATGATTTATTCTGATCTTATGTGTAGATATAATCGTTGTTTTTTTTTAAATTATAATGTGACTAATGAAATGTGAAAATAAACACGCACACTGTTAAACATGTTTTGTCGAACCATTAAAAATGAGGTTTGAAAAACTATATTTAATGGAAACCTGATATTTATTACATATTTTTGTTATAATCCTACTACCTATTATTCCAGTGTTTATTATTGTTACTCATCTTCTAATAGAAAAGTTCTCATTTACTATACTACGGATAGTCTTGATCCACTGTTTAGTTTTTTATTATTAATTCATAAGCACTAAATATCAGATACGTCGATACAGAGGTAAAACTTTTAACTGCAGCTATAAATGTATGAGAAACAATTTTGCGGACAAACGATAATATCTTCCTTAGCTTAGTGCGTCATTACTCCATTTTAATATTTACAAGAACATTTTTATGCAGTCGTTTTTTGAGAATTAACATTTTCGGAAACTTGACTTTTCTTCCCTTTCTGCATGTTTTCTACCTCGGCCTGTAGTTCTGAGTATCGCTTTTGTAAAAGCTTCTCGCGTTCAGTCTGTCGGCTGACGTCTTCGGTCAACGATTCTATTCTACGTGGAATGGCCGCTTTCTCCTGTTCAGCCAAGAATTTAAAGGTCGATAATTCTAAATTAGCTTGTTCTATTTGATCTTGTAATTCTTGAAACTGTTTTATGAGAGCTGCGGCACGACTCTGGTAACCTCCTGTTAGCACACGAAGTTTCTTTTCCATTTTTGAACATTTTTTTGCTTCCTTCGCCATGTGATTTCTATTCTGCTCTAATCTTTTCTCAGCAGATTCTAAACGATCCTTCTTGCTTGCCAAATTAGCACGCGTGTAACGATGTTGACCGGGTAGAAAAAGTACCTATAGGAAAATATGTGTAATTACTGTAATGTGCTAATTGATTGATTTCTTTAATCCTATGGTTCAGTTAGTAAAAAGGATTATTGGAAAATTATATATAGATTTAACATTATAAGCATTTTGATCTCGGCCACTTCTGTACCACCACTTCACATTATATTTAGTAACATAACACTTCCAAAGAATAGGTGTTTTGATTTAGTCAGCCACTAAAAATGAAAATTGGTAGGAAATATTGTGCGAAAAGGGTAAGAAAAAGAATACTATGATTCTCATACCTGTGCTAAACATTCCTCCCAGACTTGAGTGTACGCGTCTATACTAAGGTCCCCATGACTCATGCCCGCTTTCACCACTTCCATTTCTTTCTTCAGTGCTTCTTTAGCGGTAGCTAATTCTTCGTCAGCAAACTCTTCATATGGATGCTGTTCTAAGTATGCTAAATGGGACGCTTGTAGTTGAATAGCACGCTTTTTATCTACACCTGAAAAATATAATTGCATTAATACTTGAATGTATTTACACTCTTAAGGTGAATTTTGATTCCTGTATTCTGGTACCTTTGTTGGGTTACGCGATGCTACAGAATTACCGCATATTAAAATTTAAATGCTTATGTCTTCATGAAATCGAATTATTAATCGTATCGTAGTAATGGTCTCAATCAGTTCATGCCACATAGGGTAATAAATGGGCTCCATTTTCAGAGCTTACCGAAACTAACTTAAAGCTTTTTTGATTGTGTCACTCTGTCTTTGTAAAATACTGATGCTAACAAGGTATGTTGAGAGCACGGTTCATACTGTAGCTCCAACATACAAAACGTCGAGCAAAATTATATTTGTAAAAGCTACGGCCACCAGACTGGTGATGGCGGTACAATAGCCGGTCAGTAACTACCAACGAGGCAATCAAGTTATATTTATTTATTGCTTAGATGAGTGGACGAGTTCACAGGCCACCTGGTGTTAAGTGGTTACTGGAGCCCATAGACATCTACGACGCAAATGCGCCACCCACCTTGAGATATAAGCTCTAAGGTCTCAAGTATAGTTACAGCAACTGCCTCACCCTTCAAACTGAAACGCATTACTGCTTCACGGCAGAAATAGGCAGGGCGGTGGTACCTACCCGCGCGGACTCACAAGAGGTCCTACCACCAGTGAAATGTTTGAATGTGTGAAATAAGAAACCTTCAGGCGGGTCCCTGAGGGCATCGTAGTGCAGCATGGTGACCATCTCAGCTTTGAGCAGTTCCTCGGCGTGCTGCAGCGGCGTGAGGGCGGACAGCGAGGCGGCACCGCGCAGCACCGACACGTTGACGTCGGCGGGACGCGCCGCGCCGCGCTGCACCGCCAGCGAGCGACGCGACAGCTCGGCCGCGCCTGCCGATAATCAAACCGAGTTGGTCGTAGCGACTCTTAAGTTCAATGACAAGTACTTTTGAAACATGGCTTATGATGATAAGTAAAAATCCTCGCAAAAAAACTTTCCAAAGGTACAGGTGTGCGATGTGTTCGTTATTAATTCTTATACGAGCATTTCTCAATGTGCACATACCATATGGCCTGGCTCAAATTATAATATTACAGAAATCATTTTGCGTAGATCAAACAAGGTGTTATGACGAACGGAAAACTTACGTTTTTCTTCTTGTTCCTTAGCATATCTAGCATCAGCATCAGCTTGGTCCTCCACGGAAACGACTGCGGCCGAATCGTCCTTATCTTCACCAGCCTCTTGCTCCGGCACCACGATTTCATAGTCATTTCTCGGAACAGGCAGAGATTGCAAAGCGTTTCTGACTGATGTTTTTGCTTGTTTTTGAAGTTGATGGGAAATTTGAGGAGTGTCACCACCATTCACTCTGTCTTCAGGGTTGATATTAAGTTTATCTCGCAAGCCTGGGGTCAGCCCAAGCTGACTATTGCCATGTCCTGGAGTGTTAAAACTGCCAGGTGTGGACACTTCACTGCGAGATGATCTGAAACAAAATAATGATTTCAATATTTATCTATCTACTGAACAATGTGGACAGTATTTAAACTTTTGATGCAAAAATACCTGAATGGTGTAGCCAGAACAGTGTTAGGTGTGGCCACAACTTGATTTTGAGGTAGTGCCCCAGAAAAATCACTCTCATGTAATGGAGTGTTCAAGCCTCCTTTCAATGGGGTGTCCACATGAGTTAGTGCCATTACATTCTGTGCTTCCATTAGAATTCTGTAATTAAAATATTTTTCTTAGTAAGTTATAACAGCATAATTAATATCAAAAATAATTTTATTTCATGTATTTGATATAAAACTAAATGAAACGACAAGTGAGTCGACTATTATCAAAGGTGGCAATCTGACTTTTGGACAATGATTGGTAAATCAGAAAAACGAATTATTGACTTTGTATTCCATTGGCAGTCACAAAACTCTTCGGAACGACATCTTAGATAAATAACAGGTTAACTATTAACCTTTATTTAATGCAGGTTTTGAACCGTATTCTTTGAAGGAGACGATTATATTCAAATAAATCTGTATTGACACATCAATAAAAATTTTTTGTCCAAATGTACAGATTGCCGCCTTTGATAATAGACGACTCAAGTGTTGGGCAACTTTACCATAGAAAGAAAAATTTATAGCGACCTGAGTACCCGTAACAGCAGCTCCTCCCCACGCTATATCGTCTCTTCGCATTAAAAGTAATTTCCAAAATTCGAAATTGAGTTAATATGCGTAATCATTTGATATCACCAGTATTTTTCTCATAAATACTGTCAAAAGAGCGTAGTTATTTTTTTTTATTTTTTTATTTACCTATGTTTTGATTACTATTAACAAAATTAATACATAATTTTATCTTACTTTAAAAGACAGATAATGTAACTGGTAAAAAATAAAAAATAATTGTTGCAAAGATGATTAATATTAAAAATATCACATGTTAAACCTTTAAAATTAGTAAGATTTGAGATTATACAGTTTTAATGCGAGCAGACGATATCGACGCTTGAAAGGCAAACGTGACTAAGCGACAATGCGTGAGCTTTATTTACAGTAGACTAATTTAAAGTTGAAATACCTGAAAAAAATATCTATTTTAACGAATCTTTGAAGTCGTCGTGGCCTAAAGGATAAGACGTCCGGTGCATTCGTATCTAGCGATGCAACGATGTTCGAATCCCGCAGGCGGGTACCAACTTTTCTAATGAAATACGTACTTAACAAATGTTCACGATTGACTTCCACGGTGAAGGAATAACATCGTGTAATAAAAATCAAACCCGCAAAATTATAATTTGCGTAATTACTGGTGGTAGGACCTGTTGTGAGTCCGCGCGGGTAGGTACCACCGCCCCGTCTATTTATGCCGTGAAGCAGTAATGCGTTTCGGTTTGGAGGGTGGGGCAGCCGTTGTAACTATACTGAGAACTTATATCTCAAGGTGTGTGGCGCATTTACGTTGTATATGTCTATGGGCTCCAGTAACCAATTAACACCAGGTGGGCTGTGAGCTCGTCCACACATCTAAGCAATAAAAAAAAAAACTAGCTGTAGGATTGAAATGATTGTAATAGACCTAGAAATATAATTTTTTGCGCATCGAATATGGTTATATTGCCTATCATTTATGTTTGTCGCTTAGTCACGTTTGCCTTTCAAGCTTCGATATGTAGAGTGGTCGCTCGTTCTGTACCTGTCATGTTGTGCGGGCGTGCGCAGAGCAGTGGCGGGCGCGGGTGTGAGCGCGTACTGCGCGACCAAAGCGTCGGTAGCGGCCGCCGCACCGCCCGACGCAGCCTCGCGAGCCGCCTCCGATGCACGGCCCAACTTTACCACCTGCTGCAGCTCCTACGTCATAACATTATGTAATTATATAATTAAATATTTTAATTATCTATACTAATATTATAATCTATACTAATATTATAATCTATACTAACTGATCAGATGAAAGACCTTACTGAAACCCCACTTGTGTGTGCGCCGGGCCTCGGTTCGCAAACTATGTAAAACATCTGTCAAGGCTTTAATAAGTAAGAATTCCACATGACTACGACTGCTCATCCAAGAGCCACCGATTATGATGATACTAATATTATAAAGCTGAAGAGTTTGTTTGTTTGAACGCGCTAATCTCAGGAAATAATGGTCTGATTTGAAAAATTATTTCAGTGTTAGATAACCCATTTATTGAGGAAGGCTATAGGCTATATAACATCACGGTAAGGCCAATACAAGTGGAGCACCAATAAAGAATGTTTCAAAATAGGGATTTAAATAACTCCTAAACATTCTATAATTTAAAAATATTTTCACTTTCTACGTAAATGAAGTGGGGGTAAAATATAGCGTTATGCCAAAGTAACTATTCCACGCGGACCGAGTGGCGGGCTAGTCGTATAATAACATCTTAAGCAACAGAAATCGTGGGTAACAAATACCTAGTCATAATTATATTACACAATGCTATTGTAAAGACTTATAATTTTGATTTCACTTCAATATTTTAATTTTCAACAGTTACTTAGTTTTTCATATTTGATCTATCAATGATATTTTATCATTGATCAGAATAGATCTACTATCTAGTATGGTCTAGATAGACCTAGTATTTGATAGACGGAATTAGAAAATAGCATACTTGATCAGTAACTTGTGGCTCTGGCAGCACAAGTTTGCTGCGTTTTCTTGCCGGAGCATCACCTTGTAGCATGGCTTGTGGCACATCATTTTCCTTGCGTTGTTTCAATTTTTGCTTATCCTTGCGACGTTCTCTCTAAAAATGTTAAAATAAAATATTTTAATAAAATAAAATCTTTATTATTTTTAACCACAGAATAGATAGGTACACAAAATATACATGAATATAAAAAAAAATGTGGATAGAAGAACCATCATCTCATATTCCCTACTTTCCTTACTTCTCTAAGTTAACTTTTAGTATAAATTAAGTAAATGTAACCAACCTCCTCTTTCTCAGAGTGTAGTTCACCATCAAGGTGTTGTTGTCGAAGTCTTGAGAAATCAGGAGCCATGGGATCAACTACTTCAGTCGAAGTGTCATAGAAACCAGACGCTGGTCTCTTTTCAAATGGTATCTCAGCATTATAATCAACGCCACGTTTTTTTTTACGCCTGGTGAACAATGAAGCATTTAAAAAAATACAAGATGCGACCAATCTGAATGTTCTTAATTTCAATCTATAAATCTAAATATTGCCTGGCAGGTTCTATAAATGTTTCACTTATAACATAAATTTAAAAATGAATAACTTGAAAGGGCAGCTCTCATATTATGCAATTGAAACTTAGAACTTTTTTTTTATGATTGGAAAGATTACTGGTGGCTCGGAGGCCTTTCTAGTTTCACCAGGACAGCAGGGGGAGCAAAAGCTCAGCCAGGAGGGGTGGGATTAGTTAACAGCTGCCCGAGCGCCTCCGAAGGAGACCTAACAACTCTAGAGCAGCTGCTTCGCGGATGAACCTAATACCAGATCGGAATGACGACCCGCGGAGAAGATCCGGCGAGGCTCAGCGGGCTGATGCATGGGTTAAGGTTGCACATCGAGCTCTATGTCGAGTTCGATGAACTTTTGTCTCAAGATAGTACATATTCAGATTACGAAGTCTACGGGTTCTGATCAGCACTTAACAGCAAGTGGGCTGGCAGCTTGTTTTTGTTATAATAAATATATATAAATATAATAATACTATAAATATAAAAATGTTACTCAATTTTACACAACCAATTGAATGTAAAATATTCACACTTTTTTTTGTCTATTTCATAATATATAACTTATTGTGTTTTTATACCTTAATGGTACAGCTATCCCAGCAGCACTGAGTTCCCTTCGCTTCTGTAGTGCAGCAAGACGACGAGCCTCTTCTAATTGCTTTTCACGAGCCTTCCTTTTAGCTTTCTTACCTTGAGTGTTAGCTAAACGTGCACGAGCTTCTGAGAGCATCTCCAATTCTAGTTATCAAGAATGAAATTATAATAAAAAATCATGAAACAAAACAATTCTCAACTCAGGCTGAGAAGTACATGTACACTACTCATTCTCTACCCTCAGTCTATAGTGTACATTTTATAAATGGCCACTCCAATTGGTGTAAAAGTGTCACTTAAAACCAAAATTATATCGTGATCAACAATAATTTTTTATCTAGTCTTCATTTTTATAAATTTGAAGGAAAAAGATCATTGTGACACAAAAATGAAACACAGCACGTGTAAACTTCTGATGTTGTTCACACATACATTCTTAAAAATATACAGCTATAATGACTATATCAATTATGGGAGGATATAAAAATTTGTTGCTGTTGTTGAAATCAGTACCTATGAACTGCATCACCAACATACTTGGAATTCATAACTATCACTAACTTGTCTTCATTTTTAAGAGCTAATAGTTCTTTTTACATTCTGTGTTTTCAATTATGAAAAAATATACTAAACTATACAGTGAACTCTAACCTAAATTCACATTATTAACTGAATTCATAACTAAAAGACTAAATGATTTTTCAAATATGATTTGCTTACCATCTTCATCCATATCTTTTGGATCAGGTCTAGCAGGTTTTGTTTCTGGATTAGGATCAATCTCACCAGGCTTCAGCTTACGTGGATCATCGCCCATGTCCTCACCTTCCTCTTTCTTTTGGGCTTGGTCTCTAGATGAGAATTAAAGGAGTTTACAGAATTTTATAATATTCATAGATAAGCATCTGTGGTGTGACAGATTGTGTCGTGAACCTGTGTTTTTGTTGCATTTCTGTTCCATTTGTCAAAGATCCAGCATTTTTAAACTGGAAAATATGCTTGAAAGAAGAATGCTTTAAACATGAAAAGCAGGATAGCCGTTGTATAAAACAATTGATTTCCACATTATTTCTAAAGCTGTATGGCAGCCACATTCACATTATGATGTCTATGAACCCTTATCTGTCTATTTAGAACATTAAAATAATTATATTTCATCATCACACAAACCACAAGATGGTCAATTCAGATCTCTAGTTCTACACTATCTATCTCTTATATTGCTTACTGTTGCCTGATTTGTTTAGTGTTAATAAATATTGATGCTAACACCAAAGCAACTTTTTCAGATACCTATTTGAGTGATTGAAACCAAACCTAACTACTTAACTCTGTTTTATTAGATACAAGGAACTCAAACTTAACAAGATAATTAATTACTTACAACAAATATTCGTATCTTTCCAAACATTGTGCAGCAGTACGTCCGATGATAGGAGCAATGGTCCTCCACTGAGTTGGCATCAATTTGGCTAAGTGCAACAGCTTCTCGTCCTCTTCTCGGGACCATTCTGTTTTCTTAATACTTGGATCTAACCACTCGTACCAACGGGCTTTACATTGTTTTGCAGATTTACGATGGAGCAACGAAGCTATACGAGACCACTGATTTTTCCCATATTTCATAACAGCCGCTTTAAGGATTTCATCCTAAAGTGACATACAAATAACATAAGTATTAAGGAATCTTAAGATACTTTCTTAATAAAGAATACAAAATAGTAAAATAACAAACCTCGGTGTTACGCCAAACGCCACCTTTTATCATAATCCGGGGCATGTTGGATAGTGTTTATTCAGCTTATAAATAAATGAAATCAATTAAATTTGAATAACTACTAATTCAATATGCAATAATTTTCAATAAAACGTCTCCATTTAGCGAAAATTTAATAAATTGAGATTTATTTTATGCTTAGATCAATGAAAACTGAGTTCTATAATCCAGAGACATATTTTTTTGGTACAAATTTTCCTTATTAGGAAAGGCAAGGGGATCTAAGCCCATATAGCCTTTAATCCATAGACAATACATACCCAAGATATAGGTAAAATAAAAATTTTAATATATATATATATATATATATATTTTATGACCTAACGTAACATAGCGATAATGCATTTCGGTTTGAAGGGTTGGGCAGCCGTTGTAACTATACTCGAGACCTTAGAACTTGTATCTCAAGGTGGGTGGCGCATTTACGTTGTGGATGTCTATGGGCTCCAGTAACCACTTAACACCAGGTGGGCTGTGAGATCGTCCACCCATCTAAGCAATAAAAAAAAAAACCATCATTAGAAAAACTAGAAGAAAAAAATGTGTGTGTGCATGTCACACACCTTATGTGTGACACGGTAGAAGTGAAACTAGTAAAAATTAAAATAACCGCAAGGGTCAACCATCCTGCAGTGCAATGAAGCAGCCTCACCCTGTGGAAACCGCCTGCATAATCACGGTATCCCTACGCCAGGTAAGTATGATTTAGCTTCTTTTTTTTCCTACCTAAGCTGATAGCCCTGAGAGCTATTTCAGCGGAACCTTAAATAGTAGGTGAACTCACGGGGCTCAAACCTGACGACGTTGCTAACACGAACCCTAGCAAGAGCCGTGCTTCGCAGAATCTACCGCCGGAACGGAAACGCGACCCACTGAGAAGATCCGGCGAGAAACTCAGTGGGCTGTGACTGAGGGTTAATTTACTCGACGAGCCCTTCGTCACAAGCGACGGGTTCAACGAGAACGGTGACCGGTGCTTGAGGTACCTAAAAGCACCGTTAGTGGATCGGGAGGATCCGAAATGACGTGTTGGGTGATGTCGACTGCTTTCCATTCTTTTGATTTAGCAAGAGAAATACGAGAACGTCTATCAACTGTGTGACATCTCATCACCGCGATTCAGGAATTGTTGAATTTACGTGCAGGGACATTTGCTGATAACAAACGGATGGTTACAATCAATTCTGTCACCCCGTTTCGGCTAGATGTTGAGTTCTGGGACACCCTGTATATGACACAAACTTCTGTAGACTATACATAAATCATAAACATTTTTTTTACTCCTCCTGTCCTACCTGAAGTCTCAGTAAATTCTTACCATTATAATATCACATTACAAGATTTCTCCTCATGTCATCTGATTTTAATGGAATTAAATTATTTTATTTCATAAAATTTCATCCCTTTTGATTACCATTAACCGATGAAACAACTTCTTTTAGTCCGCTTCATTTCATTCTTCATAAAAAAAGTTAAATGTGTTACGTTAAAATTGCAGACTATTTATACTCGACGCCAGTAATAATGGTATCGAAAACGTCCTTACGCATCTAACAGATACATTGACAGAATGCTAGAGCATTAAGCCCCTTCAATTCTAATTAGCACTGGGAGCAGCTTAGCTGCTTAAGTGCTCTGTTAACCGGACTGGTCAAGCTCGGCAGAGAGTTCGGCGTGCAACCTAACCGCCCCAGCCCGCTCAGTTTCTCGTCGTGTCTTCTCAGCGAGCCGCGATTTCAATTCGGTAGTAGATTCATTCGGCAAGTAGTTGTCTTTGATTTGTTAGGTCTCCTTCGGAGGCGCTCGGGCACCTGTTAGCAAATCCCATCATTCTTGGTTAAGTCTGTGGTCACCCACATGTCTTGGTAAAACTGGAAACGCCTCCGGGCCACCAGTAATACTTCCTTCCCAAAAAAGGCATCGCAAGAAGGCGATTGCCTTACGGAAAAAATATAGCTGACGAGAGTAGTAATCTGTGTGAGTGAGACAAGATACAATTGTAGTGGTGACTTTTTGGCGGGAACGCAAGGAGTGAAGTTGTGTGAATTGTTTTATTTTCTTTATTTAGTGTTTCTTCAGGTTTATATATGTAATAATGAAATGAAATGAAATTAATGAAAATGAAATAAAGCCGCTGGAGGTAACTTCTCGGGATCCTCCAAAAAGTCCACTGAAAAAATTTCAATAAATGACCACCATTTTACTGAGATTATATTGCATCCCATATCATCTCATCTCATTTCATTTAATTTCATCCCAGTTAATTAATGTCTCAAGTTAGTCATCTTGATTTCCTTTCACTCCATATTATCATTTTTCATATGTAAAATTAAGAATATAAATTAAAATAAGACATGACCTAAAGTTCTTAGTTACCAGGTCATAAAATCCCTTAAAAATAATCTATGTTAAACAGTCTGTTGTGGTCATAGATTATACACTTAATATGTTGTGGTCTGACACTCCCTAATTTTAATTTATTGAGAGATTTTTTACGTCCAACATAGATAGTTTGAATATAGTGTACACAGAAACATGTGTATTAGTTGACTTCTAGATAAAGTGACTCGCTACATTATTAGCAAGGTACGGCTCGCGCGGTTATTAACATAAAACAATATCTGGTCTTGTTAGATATCTTGACTTAGTAAATCATGATCTCACATCATTGATCATCTTCTCGAATGAATGCAGCAACAATTTGTTATTCCCCTTTGAACGGAAATCCTAAGTTGTGTAATTCTAATAGATAGGAAATAACATTATTGTATTATCATTATCTTTCATAGTTGTGAATCCGCGTACCTTTTTATTGCAGAAATATGTCCACATTATCAAGATCCCTGAATATTAGTCAGCAAAAATTAGCTGAGAAGCTAATTATACTGAATGACAGAGGTATTGGTATTTTAACAAGAGTTTACAACATTAAGAAAGCCTGTGGAGATGCCAAATCGAAACCAGCATTTCTATCTGATAAAGCATTGGAGTCATCAATTAAGCACATAGTTAGGAGATTTCCCAACATTGACGTTAAAGGACTCCAAGCAATTACACCAATACGGAATGAAGTAATCAAATCATTGTCGCTATACTATTACACATTTGTAGATTTGTTAGATTTTAAAGACAATGTTTGTGAACTTCTTAACATCATAGATGCATGTCAGGTTACTTTAGACTTGACATTGAATTTTGAATTGACAAAAAACTATCTTGACTTGGTTTTAACATATGTTACACTAATGATATTGTTGTCTCGAGTTGAAGACAGAAAAGCAGTGTTAGGTTTATTTAATGCTGCATATGAATTGCTACAGAATCAAATTGAGAATAGTTTTCCTCGTTTGGGACAGTTGATTGTTGATTATGATGCTCCATTGAAGAAATTGTCTGAAGAATTTGTGCCACATCAAAAAGTACTAGCAAGTGCATTAAATTCTCTATGGCATGTGTATCCAGCTAGAAATCTTTCTGCTGAACATTGGAGATCGGAGCAAAAGCTAAGCTTAGTAAGTAATCCAGCTCAGCTACTCAAACCATCAGAAACAAACACAATGTCTTGTGAGTATGTATCATTGGAGTCTTTGGAGAGGTGGGTCATATTTGGTTTTGCACTCTGTCATCAGATGCTCCAGCAGGACCATGCTAATAAAATGTGGGTCAATGCACTAGAGTCAGGATGGGTTGTGGCATTATTTAGAGATGAAGTGATTTACATTCACAGCTACATACAAGGTTTCTTTGACAGCATAAAAGGCTATGGCAAAAGAATATCTGAAGTAAAAGATTGTTACCATCATGCAGTACAGAAAGCAGGATACAAACACAGAGAAAGGAGAAAATTCTTAAGAACAGCTTTGAAAGAACTGGGTCTAATATTGACTGATCAACCAGGATTATTGGGCCCAAAAGCTCTTTTGATTTTCATTGGCCTCTGCTATGCAAGAGATGAAGTATTTTGGCTGTTGCGACATAATGATAACCCACCACAAAAAGTAAAGGGAAAATCTGCAGAAGATTTGGTAGACCGTCAACTTCCTGAACTTTTGTTCCACATGGAAGAATTAAGAGCATTGGTTCGTAAATATAGTCAAGTAATGCAGAGATACTATGTGCAATACCTTTCAGGCTTTGATGCTGTAGCATTGAACATGATGATTCAGAACTTGAAGGTATGTCCTGAAGACGAAAGTATAATATTATCATCTTTATGTACTACTGCAGCAAATTTGAGTGTCAAACAGGTTGAAGAGAATGAGCCATTTGATTTTCGATCATTCCGTTTAGATTGGTTCAGACTTCAAGCATATACATCTGTTGTCAAAACCCCCTTGAGTCTTGTTGATCAAAGGGAACTGGCTCAGTTTATAGACAAAATGGTATTCCATACTAAAATGGTAGATAACCTTGATGAAATAATGGTTGAAACATCTGATCTGTCAATATTTTGCTTTTACAACAAAATATTTGAAAATCAGTTCCATATGTGTCTTGAGTTCCCTGCACAAAATCGGTATATTATAGCATTCCCGCTTATTTGTAGTCATTTCCAAAATTGTACTCATGAACTATGCCCTGAAGAGAGGCATCACATTCTAGAGAGAAGTTTGTCAGTAGTCAACATATTCTTGGATGAAATGGCAAAAGAAGCAAAAAACATTATCACCACTATATGCGATGAACAGTGTACTATGAGTGACAAATTACTACCCAAACATTGTGCACAAACTATAGCTCATTTAGCTAACAGAAAAAAGAAGGATAAAAATAAGAAAAACACAATTGAAATTGTTAAGCCTGGAGCAGAAAGTTACAGAAAAACTAGAGAAGAATTGACAACCATGGACAAACTTCACATGGCTTTGACAGAATTATGCTATGCTATAAATTATTGTTCCACTGTAAATGTTTGGGAGTACACTTTTGCACCACGAGAGTACTTGCACCAACATTTGGAAACTAGATTCTCTAAGGCCTTGGTTGGCATGGTAATGTTTAACCAAGACACAAGTGAAATTGCTAAGCCTTCTGAGTTGCTGGTTAGTGTTCGTGCATACATGAATGTGCTTCAAACTGTTGAAAATTACGTTCATATTGATATTACACGAGTTTTCAATAATTGTCTTTTACAACAAACTCAAAATATGGATAGTCATAAAGAAAAAACCATTGCATCATTGTATACACAGTGGTACTCTGAGATTTTACTGAGACGGGTCAGTGCTGGTAGTATTTGTTTTTCAATGAGTCAAAAAGCATTTGTTAGTTTGACAGCCGAAGGTGCTATACCCTTCAATGCCGAGGAATATTCTGATATTAATGAGTTAAGGGCATTAGCTGAATTAATTGGGCCCTATGGTATGAAACTGTTAAGTGAAACACTAATGTGGCAAATTGCAAGTCAAGTACAGGAATTGAAGAAACTGGTTGTACAAAATAAAGAGGTGTTGCAGATGCTCAGGACTAATTTTGATAAACCAGAAATTATGAGAGAGCAGTTCAAAAGATTGCAAAATGTGGATAATGTACTACAACGGATGACCATTATTGGAGTCATATTGAGTTTCAGACAAATAGCTCAAGAGTCATTACTAGATGTTTTAGAAAGGCGTATTCCGTTTTTGATAAGTTCCATAAAAGACTTCCAGCAACAGCTGCCGAGTGGTGATCCAATGCGAGTCATTTCAGAAATGTGTTCTGCTGCTGGCTTACCGTGCAAAGTAGATCCAACATTGGCATCAGCTTTACGTCAGCAAAAATCAGAAGTTGAGGAGGAAGAGCATTTAATTGTATGCTTGCTAATGGTGTTTGTTGCTGTGTCTTTGCCTAGACTAGCTCGGAGTGAAGTATCTTTCTATCGACCTTCCCTGGAAGGTCATGCTAACAATATACACTGTATAGCTCCAGCTATCAACCACATATTCGGAGCTCTATTCACTATATGCGGCCAGGGCGATATCGAGGATCGAATGAAAGAATTCTTAGCTTTAGCGTCATCATCTTTGCTTCGTTTAGGGCAAGAAACTGATAAAGAAGCTACTAAGAATAGGGAATCAGTTTACCTTCTATTAGACTTGATAGTGCAGGAGTCACCCTTTCTTACAATGGATTTGTTGGAGTCATGTTTTCCATATGTATTGATACGTAATGCTTATCATGAAGTGTATAAACAAGAGCAGATGCTTCTGCATATGTAATTCCATTGTATTTAAAGACAAATTAAGTTTTAGCATTAAGTATTACTGTAATTAGGTTTAAAGATATACTATTAAAATTCAGGGTGTAAGGGATCAGTTTCTGAATCAAAAAGGGCAAGAAACTAGTACCTTAATGGAAATTAAAAACAATAATTATCCACTAAAAACTTAATATAAAGTAAACATTTTGACAAAAGTGCTGGTCGATTTTGACATATCTATATGTAAAGGTGAATGTCACAAGAAACACTGTTCCCTTCCATCAGTTTATTTGAATGAAATAGCAGTAAAGGAATAAATGTTTGGATTTTGCACCAGCCTTCGTTTTTGGGAAAGATACCATACACCCTGTATAAATACAAGCACGTATGCACTTTGAGATTATTGATAAGTACTATTATCCGGTTTTGATTGTGCTTCAGCCTAATTATTTTCACGAAAATCACTTGACATTTAAGACTGGAAAATATTCCTTGTATTGAAAGCTAACATATTTAGAGAATATTTTATTTATTAGCCTTAGGAAGCTAGATATCGATCAGCGAATATTCCACTTATGTTATTAATTTAAGTACCGTTAACTTCTCATGTAAAATTTTCATAAATTTTTAATAATATGTTTATGTAGCGGTAGTTGCAATGTATTGAATAATTGTAAGAATATTCAGCAAGTCGATATGAGAGGAAAAAATAGTAATGAAGTATATTTGTAAATACATAATAAACTAAACACAAACAGGTCATAGGACTATGGTGTAAAATAAAATAATACCAATTCTTGTCTATTCCTTTAAGTACATAGCAAAATTTTCATGACAAAGTTTAAGTTTTATATGGTCAAGAACATGCTTTCTGCCGAATATTAAAAGTAAAATACATAATTATCCTTTTTGATCTCTTCAAGATACACAGAAACTTCCATGATTGCGTCGCATGGATAGGCATTAGTCTGTCTATAAGTCGACTATATTACATAAGTCTTGGGAAGCGATGTGGCTAGTCAGGAAATTCAGAAATGCAGGAATTTTGGTACATGATTGAGACTTGAATGAAATATTTTCTCCAGCTTTCCTGGTTTATTATATATTCTATGCAAGATTACTACTAGTAGGCCTAGGTAATCGACACTCTTGTTTAGTCCTTATAAATTCTAAGTTGATTTATTTTATTCCATAGCAACACAATGGCGATAAGCATATAAAGTATCAAAGAAATTGAACTTGTTGCTTGCAAAAAAAATTAGGAAGCTCGACTGTAGCCATTGTAGTAATTTTTTTAGTTTTAACTTTTAATATATATATATATATACCTAATGTTTTTGTACTTTTTATCATAAAATTGTTTTATCTTATTTTTATTCATTGTAATTTACCAAAGTAAAAAAGGCAATTCTAATGTAATGTCAAATGAAATAGTTGAAGATTTAGTTATATAATTGAGCATTCTTTTAGACTTCCTTCAGAATATAAATTATTATCAGAGTAGTAGTACAAAAAGGAAATATGTAAACCCACTGAAACAGAAATTGTTGACGTTCGATTTTTGTAATATCGTTGATACTTTTGTACCTTATATTTCAATTTATTATTATACTATATAAAAATAAAATATACCGCATATACAAAATAGTTTTATTTCAAATAATTTGTCAAGTATTTTCTTGATCAATAAAGTGAGTTTTGTGCAATTGCTCAAAAATTTTATTTACCCATACGTAGGTAACTAAAAACTTTGTACTAATATATTTTAAAGATAATAATTACTATGTAACATCTTAATAAATGTGGTTTCAGATTATTTATGTATTCGTGTAAATTCATCTTGATGAATTATTCGAAACCTAGGGTTTTCTTCAAATTATTTAAGGTTCTTCCAAGATTAAATTCACGCATTCTATAATCACAAATATTCAATAGTTTGCGAAACAAATTTAGCCTCTAGCTATAAATTGTTCTTAACTAAACATTAGGACTCTGTAGTCGGTTTGCAAATTATTTATTTAATAAATTTTACGCTTCTAAATGTATTCATTTTTATTTACAATAATTGATTTTTTTTAAATATCTAAGTACTAGTTTCAAATCTTGATGGGTATTCTTTAAATGGAGATGACAATATGTATGTGTTTAGTAAGACTATTGTGTATGGTCTAGTTTCTGGCAAAACCTTAATATTACACAGTCCGCCAAAATCATGCGTCATATAGGTACATGTGTTGTGTTAATGAAGCTTTTTAATGTAAAAAAGTAACTCATGAATACATGTACTCATGAGTACATGTGTACATTGAAATTTACTTTGGAACGTAGTGTAGTTAATAAAATATTTGAATTTTTCACAAATTTAAAGAAAACAGCATATTTAATGTAAAATTTATTGTTTTTTTTTCATGTTATATTGAAATCACGTTGTAACATTCATTTTGTTTAATTCAAAACAATTTATTCTATGTATACTACTAGATAAACTCTATACAATTATTGCTTCAGTCATTGTACACAATAACAGGGTTGGAACTGAATTCATATCCTAAAGCATTCAAACAAATAAAAATGAAATCCTACTTTTTCAGTTTCATTGTACATTGAGGTTATTTCCTAAACAATTTTTTTATGGCCCAAACAATGACTGTTCTATGACAGAGATCGATTTGAAATTTATATCGAACAATAAAACTTTTAAAGCAATTCAAGTTACTTAGTGTAAAACAAATCAATATTATTAAATAATAATTGTTTGCTGCATAAATTTAGTTTATTTCTAAAGTTAAAGAAATAAAGTGAAGGATAACACTAGCAAAACCGATAATTTTTTTATATCTAAATTTACTAACTACAAGATATTTCATAAAGTAAAGAACACCGATTTATCGACACAAAGAGATAAAATGTTTTAATTATTGTTTAGCATCACGAGTATTGCAATTCAAATCTTTCAAAACCCTTAAATATATGTACCTTAGTTGTAAACATTTTTTTTAAATTATCTGGCAATACCAACATTTTGAATCTTGAAAATTGTCTCCAGTTATAATATTAATTACAAAGAAAGAAACATTTTTAATGACAGATTTTGAATAAGAATGGAATTATCTATAAAATACAATTAACAGCCACTCTTAAGGCTTTCTTCATGAGTGTTTTGAAATATTTATTCAAGTAGTATACACAGATTTCATCGATTAAAAATATTCACATTGTTATTTAGATATCCTAGTGAAGTATTCTAGCTTATAACTAAGGAGAAATAATGCCATTGAGTATAGTACTAGTTTATATACTGATGGAACTTTATCCACATATACGATTGGTCAGGTCATTTTACGACAAAAACGTTTCGCATTTTATCTTACAATACAAATATACAGTGTTATGTACAATTACAAGAACTTGCATATTTCGAGCTTCTAATAAAATGGCATTAATACGGTATACTTAAAGACAGTTTTCTTATAATTAAAAATGTATAGAAATTATATAAAATACATCATGCTCTTTGGCTTGCACGACGGAAAGTTTTTCTATACAAGATCCATAAACACATTCTCGAACTATTAAAGAGATCAATTCAAATGTTATGAAAAAATAAATCGGCGGCTTTATTACAAAATATAGTCGAATGTGATATGCAAATTTATTATCGTAAAGGTAACACGAGTCGTGCACGTCTTTTTGAGCTTCGTAACGCATCGAACGCGCACTTTCAAAAATAATAACGTTAAATGCTGGAAGTTCATCAGTCTAATCAATATTTGATCATTTGGCAATACTGTTTTTTAGTTTTACGGACCAGCCGGTGCTCAAAGTTGGAGCATCGTGCGATCCGCCAGTTGTCGTACGTGAGTTCCTTTTCATCGTATAAAAATAATTTCAAGTGTCCGTCCGTGTTTTGTGTGTCGCACGTCAGCAGCTAAGCTCAGCGGAACATGAATCGATATCTATAATCCATATTGAGCAAACAATTTTCTCTTTATATAGATTAAGAAAGAAACGTTTGTCGCCGGAACGTAATCGAACTCGAATCGAAGAACCGTCATCTGTAATGCTATTCGAGGAAAATTCGAGAACTTTTTTTTTAATTTTTTTTTATTGCTTAGATGGGTGGACGAGCACACAGCCCACCTGGTGTTAAGTGGTTACTGGAGCCCATAGACGTCTACAACGTAAATGCGCCACCCACCTTGAGATATAAGTTCGAAGGTCTCAAGTATAGTTACAACGGCTGCCCCACCCTTCAAACCGAAACGCATTACTGCTTCACGGCAGAAATAAGCAGGGTGGTGGTACCTACCCGCGTGGACTCTCAAGAGGTCCTACCACCAGTAAAAAATAAACATTAAACATATCGTACATTGACCGGCTGCTATTGCATAATGCGTACGGGTCATCACAACAATGAGACACGAGGTCAGTCTCATTCAGCTTTTCGAACAGCAAGGTTGTTTGCCGATATAGGCGGTCGCCCTACCCGTAGTTACGGAACATCGAAGAGAACTAAAATATTGCTTTACAAAGACGGTTTTGCTCGTGAGGAGGCCCGCTGCATCGGATGCGGTGTCGGCTCAGGTGCGGTACACGTAGCCGAGCACCAGCAGCTCGGGCCCGCAGTACTCGTACTGTCAGACCTTGTGCACGGGCCGCATCTCGTACGCCGCGGGGTACGCGTTGGCGTACGGCTCGCCCCGCCGCCCGCTGGGTCCCGCCGGCGCCGTCGCTGTACGTGACAATAACAATCATATTAATATGGTAGTCGAAATTCGACTATAATTAATCTATACTAATATATATATAAATCTATAGTGGTTTTTACGGATGTTTCGTTATAACTACTTAACCATGCATCCGATTAACTTGAAACTTGGTATCCATGTAGAAAATACATGTGCTTAATGGATAGGCTAATATTTATATGAGTGTTGGGCTCGCTAATAATAATGACAATAAATAATAAAAAAATTTTAATGCCCAGCGAAGCGGGCGAGTACGGCTAGTTGAAATTATAAGTTTGTACACTATTGTATTGTCAAAGACTATTATACTTCTATAATCACAGATTTCGCCAAGACAACACTTTAGACAAATATAATTAAAGAAAAACAATATTTAATCTTTTTTTTAAGAGATTTTATGACCTGGTAACTGAGACCTTTAAGTCATGTCTTATTTTAATTTATATTATTCATATTTTTATGAAAAATGATATTATGGAGTGAAATGAAATGAAGATGATTAATTTGAGACACTAATCAACTGGGATGAAATTTAATGAAATGAATTGAGATGTTATGGGATGAAATATAATCTCAGTAAAATGGTGGTCATTTACTAAAATTTTTTCAGTGGACTTTTTGGAGGATCCCGAGAAGTTACGTCCAGTGGCTTTGTTTCATTTTCCCACATTTGTGCACTTTCACAGATATTAAACAGTTAATAAACCACCATTATTACACATTTAAACCCGAAGAAACACTAAATAGATAAAATAAAACAAATCGCACAACTCCACTCTTCGCGTTCCCGCTAAAAAGTCCCAATATTTAAACTTTTTTTTTAATGGATTTTATGACCTGGTAACTAAGACCTTTAAGTCATATCTTATTTTAATTTATATACTTATTTTTATGAAAATTGATAAAATGGAAGTAAATGAAATGAAATGAAATTAATTTGAGACATTAATCAACTGGGATGAAATTAAATGAAATGGGATGATATGGGTGAAATATAATCGCAGTCAAATGGTGATCATTTACTGAGATTTTTTCAGTGGACTTTTTGGAGGAACCTGAGAAGTTACGTCCAGCAGCTTTGTTTCATTTTCCCACATTTGTGCACTTTCACAGATATTAAACAGTTAATAAACCACCATTATTACACATTTAAACCTGAAGAAACACGAAATAGACAAAATAAAACAAATCACACAACTTCACTCCTCGCGTTCCTGCCAAAAAGTCCAATATTTAATCTATTCTCAATTTGACCACAGACTATAAGCAATAAGAAAAGGTTGACAGTAAACAAATAGTATACATGCGTGTGTGTGTCAAATACATGGTAGTGTGTGTAATTTTTTTTTATTGATTTAATGTACATATTTTATGCATAACTAGCGACTCGCCCTCGCTTGGCTTTCGAAACTGTAATTTATTATTGATTTCTCCACTATTTAATGGATGTTATTATACATATAAACCTTCCTCTTCAATCATTCTATTTATTAAAAAAAAAAACGCATCAAAATCCGTTGCGTAGTTTTAAAGATTTAAGCATACATAGGGACAGACAGACTTTGTTTTATACTATAAAAAAATTGCATTCTACACTCCTTCTCTATGGTCTCTATAAGTGTGGAACATTTCGTACTCGTCCGTAATATATAGATATGCTGAGAACTTGGGCTGTGAGCTTATGTGTTACAACAAGAGTGTGTACGCACGCAGGTCTCGATGCGCGTACGTGTGTGGCGGCGCGTAGCCCTTGTGCGTGCGGGCGCGGCGTTGCGGGTGCCGAGCCGGAGTCCCGCGTGGTCCGCGCATGCGCCGTAGCGTGTTCATGGGGCCGCGCAGCGTCTCCGACAGCCGTCTGTGAGAACAACATACATTCAATCTCAAAAGTTCTTGGACCCATAGCACTTATCGGCCTATAGTAGAACAATAAAGTTCTACGTGTGGAACAATATACCTTATTGTATAGATTAACCTGTACAGGGTGTGCAAAAACTATTGTTTAAGCCATTATTGATTTTTAATAAATCGTAAAGATGCACCATACATTACGGATAATCATGACAAACAGTTGGAAATGTTAAAACATGAAATAGGCTTACTAATTTAGCAAGCTCTGAGGACGTATTCACATTGCGTCTTAAATGGCAACGTGACGTAGGCAGCACCACGCTCCGATGGCACGGTCCAGAGTAAAACCTCACCTGGCTGGCGGCCGTTTCGGATTCGATGAGGGCGTATGCACGGCACAGCACTTGACGAATGCTCCCATGCACACGACGAGCGCCACGCCGGCCAGCAGCACCGCCCACCACATCTCCGTGACCCAGGCCTGCACCGACTGCAGCGTGGCGCGGTTCAGCAGGAGGTTCTTCAGCCGCACCAGCGGACCCTCAGCGTCCACGGCGCGGCACTTCAGGAACACGTCGCAGTAGCCCTGGATACATATTTTATGATGCTGTAGAGACGAGCCGATACGATTGAATGAATATCGCAGTAGTTATTGGTTACGGTGACATTTAATGTTAAATTAGTATGAGACTTGGTGTCGACGTCTCACAGTCAGATGACCAGCGTCGCAGTGGTCTTGGATTCAAACAGCTGCATGGTCGTTCTCTTTGTTATTATAAAGAATTATTTTTAGTATTGTTACGTGCTGGGATTCGGGATAAATAAAAATGTTCCACCAAAGTACAACATAAGACTGTATTCAACACTTAGAACACTTTAAACACCCAACACACATTTTAAAACTCTCAAATTCGTTTCTTCCGCTTCGCTTCAGGTGATCCGTTCGTTGTTTCGCTTCGAGTAGTTCCGATTACTGACGGACTGAGTGCCATCCCTGCAACGCTTTTATAGTCGATACCTCATCCCTAGAATTATCGAGAACATTCCACACATCTCTAGTATTGTGTTTCCGTTATCTGACGATAGATGGCGTTGTACTTCTCGAGCGTTCTAGGTGCTACTAGATCCTTCGATATTCGTTCGACTATTCGGCGATAGATAGCGTTACTCTTACCGGCGTAACAGTATGATGTTGTATGTTCTTTACCTGGAAGTTGTCGCAGGGCGAGCCGGGCAGGAGGCTGATCCCGCCGGTGGGCAGGCCGACCTCGCTGGCGAAGTCCGCGGTGCTGCGGCACGAGTCGGGGTCGGAGCCCTGCTGGCACGCGAGCTGGCACAGCGCGCGGCGGTTGGGTTGCGCCGTGACGCCGGCGCCGCGGGCCGCGCTGGCCGACAGGTAGCACACCGACATGTTCCACGCGCGACATATCGACTCGCTGCACTCGCCGTCCTTGCACAGTTGCGTGCCTGCACGGGGTCATACGTGCAATATTAAATGCGACATATTCATACTTTTTGCAATTTTCGGAGCACAGTTTTATATATGTATACATGACGACAAAATTGAAAGGAAACAACTACAAAAATACGAAAAACGGTCACTTTTAATTAGCTTAAATCATACTTTCAGTGTGACTTCTTTATAGCTAATTCAAATATGATTATATGTACTTAAATTAGCAAAACAACGGTAAGAATAAAAACGGTGTCATTTCTTTTAAAATCTTATCTTTACTTTGTAAATGTTTGAGGTGTCAGTTTTATACACATAATGACTACTTTAAATTACATTATAGAGTTACCAATGTTATAGAGGCGGCAGATAAATTTTAATTGTTTGAGCTCTTGATTGTTACATCGCTTTGTTGCGTACTAACCGTTGTTACATTTGGTGTGATTGGGCATGGCACTGGGCTCGGGGCAGTCGGCGGAGTCCCCGGAGCAGACGGCCGCGTGGCTGCACTCGGCCGCCTCGCGACACGTCTGGTTGCGCGCCGCCACCACGAACCGGCACGTCTGCGCGTTGCAGCACGGGCCCTGGGACGGACTGTGGACGAAGTTTTAAAACGAATTACACGAAGCTCAAGCGATAGCGTCTCTGGATTCGTCACTAAACACGTCATTTCGGATTCCCCCGATCCAATAACGGAGCTTTTAGGTACCTCAAGCCTGGTCACCGTTCTAACCCACAAACACAGCCCACTGAGTTTCTCGCCGGATTTTCTGAGTGGGTCGCGTTTCCGATTTAGTTGTAGATTCGGCAAAGTACTGCTCTTGCTAAAGTTAGTGTTAGCAACGCCCCCAAATCTGAGCCCCGAACGCTCACCTACTCGTTGGGATACGCTGGCATAGCCTCTCAAGGTTACCAGCTTAGAATTTTTAGCGGGAACGCGATGAGTGAAGTTGTGTGATTCGTTTTATTTTGTCTATTTAGTGTTTCACTAAATGACCACAATTTTACTGAGATTATATTTCATACCATATCATCTCATCTCACTTCATTTAATTTCATCACAATTGATTAATGTCTCAAATTAATCATTTTCATTTTATTTCACTCCATATTATCATTGTTCATTTAAATAAGACATGACCTAAAGGTCTTAGTTACCAGGTCATAAAATTCCTTAAAAAAAAGCTACCAGCTTAGGTACAAAAAAAAGTCTGGATCTCGGACTAATGCAATAATTTTATAGGTCTGTAAGCTTTAGGTCCGTATCGAAACAAACGTCGGCTCCCTCCCTACCTGCACTCTGTGTCGGCGCGTCTGGTGCAGCCCTTGGCGGTGACGTTCCTCTCACGGTCGTAGGCGCCGACCTGGCGCGGGTAGCAGCACCGGTCCGTGCACTCGATGTCGTCGTAGCCTGAGGGGCGGTGGGGGGTTGGGGGGTGTCGTAAGCGAACATTTTACTATACATCAAACACCAGAGAACGAACAGGCATTTGTATTTTATATGAAAATTCAAATTGTTCAAGTGCTATACTTATATAGTAGTCTCGACTGGTAGGTATAACTATTTCTGCCTGGGACCAGATCGAATATGTGCATATACAATCGAAGATTCGACCTCAAGTTGACGTCATTTAAGTCGTTTTGTCTACGGGCTCCGAAAAATCACAACACCAGACGCCCATCGTTGACCCATCTATGTGTATGATAATTACTACATAGTATAAAACAAAGTCGCTTTCTCTGTCCCTATATCCCTATGTATGCTTAAATCTTTAAAACTACGCAAGCATTTTGATGTTTTTTTATAGATAGAGTGATGAAGAGGAAGGTTTATATGTATAATAACATCCATTAAATAGTGGAGAAATCAATAATAAATTCCAGTTTTCGAAGCGAAACGAGGGCGGGTCGCTAGTAGAAAAATAAATGTCCCTATACGTGACTTCGAAACGGTAATACGATTCAATTAGTCTACGTGTCTCACCGCAGTCGCACTCCTCGCCGTGCTCGACGATCTTGTTCCCGCAGAAGGCGCCGGCGCTGGCGGTGAGGCAGTTCCGCTTGCGCCCGTCCCTGACGGCGTCCAGCACGGCGCTGATGTTGCCGGTGCTGCACGACGAGAACCGGCTGTTGTTGGGCCGGTCGCCGGACGTCGCCGACGCGAACATTATGTAGTTGCCCTGCTGGCCCCCCGGCCGGCACTCCGAGGGGTAGTCGTGCTGACAACAAACACCGGCAGAGTAAGACGTGGTCCGAGCTAAAGATAATCAGCGCGGACGAACTCGTGAAGACTCGATGTAAAAGTGATGGTAGGACCTCTTGTGAGTCCGCACGGATAGGTACCACCACCACCCCGCCTATTTCTGCCGTGAAGCAGTAATGCGTTCCGGTTTGAAGGGTGGAGCAGCTGTTGTAACTATACTGAGACGTTAGAACTCATATCTCAAGGTGGGTGACGGCATTGTAGGACTCCACACAAATATGGATTTTGAAAAAAACCTGGTTCCAGTAGTGTCTATAACCGAGCCGAAAATTAAGAGTTAAGTTGCTTGTTTCAAAAGCGCTTCTTTACATTGTCCAGCCTAAACCAATTAAGCTATTTTGACGAAACTCTAAAAGTATAGAGGTCTTACTTAAGTTACTTTATAAGTATGAGATCAATGTACGTTTTACTGACGGATATGTGAGGCCGTCAGCGCCAAAGTGATCTAACGCACAATTTTTCATATTCGTGCTTATATTATTATGTATATTACAATTTATTAAAAACATAATTTTTTTTATATGAAAAACCGGCCTGGCCTGTCCCTAGTTTCGCCCATAGATAACCAATGGCTTAGTAAACATTATTTTAGTGCGTATTATTTTTACCCACGAAACAGTGTAAAAGTAAATTCAGACCTCATTATCTCGATACTTACAATTTTTTTTTTATTGCCCTTGTAGGCAGACGAGCATACGGCCCACCTGATGGTGAGTGGTTACCGTCGCCCATGGACTTCAGCAATGCCAGGGGCAGAGCCAAGCCACTGCCTACCGAAAACTATGGTAAGCTTAGGCAACTTTTAGCGCTGACGTCCTCATATGAGGTGATTTGATTGGTCATGGGAAGGCTGGATATTTTTTTTATTGCTTAGTTGGGTGGACGTGCTCACAGCCCACCTGGTGTTGAGTGGTTACTGGAGCCCATAGACATCTACAAGGTTCCCCGAATCCTGATCACGCAGGAGCAAGTCACCGTCGTCGCCCTAGACACGTCCTTACGGATCCATCAGATCCAATAACTCTTGCATTAGATACCTTCAGCTCTAACACTAGGAGCCCCGGTAACCGTACTCGTCGAACTCGACAAAGAGGTCGACGTGCAACCTAACCCATGCATCAGCCCGCTGAGTTTCTCGCCGGATCTTCTCAGTGGGTCGCGATTCCGATCCGGTAGTAGATTCATTCGCGAGGCAATTGCTCTTGAGTTGTTAGGTCTCCTTCGGAGGCGCTCGGGCAGTTGTTAGCAAATCCCACCCCTCCTGGCTGAGCCTTTGCTCGCCCACCTGTCCTGGTGAAGCTGGAAAGGCCTTCGGGCCACCAGTAAACTTTCAATCATAAAAAAAAAAAAAAAAAAAAACATCTACAACGTAAATGCGCCACCCGCCTTGAGATATAAGTTCTAAGATCTCAGTATAGTTATAACGGCTGCCCTACCCTTCAGACCGAAACACATTACCTACCCGCGCGGAGGTCCTACAACACCACCAGTAACAATGTTAATGAGGCGCGCATACATACCGGCGAGCCGAAGTTGTGCCCGATCTCGTGCGCCAGCGTGAGCTGACTGACCTTGGGCGGCACCCTGCTGTTGTAGTTGACGAACGTGATGATGCCCGTGTTGAGCGAGCGCTTGGTGCTCTGGTACATGCCGCCGATCGTCTCCGTGTACGTCTTGTACTTCTCGCAGATGCCGCCCGACGCGCCGCTCGCGCTCGCCACCCATGCCAGACCTGCCACATATAATACTCGTATATATCTATATATTAATACATGACGCAAAAAATTAGTACCCCCTTTTTTAAAAATTGCGCGGACAGAGTAGTATGAAATTTCCCACACTTATAGAGAATATAGAGAAGGAGTACAGAATGTTAATATTATTTTTAAATTATGCATTAATAATACATTAAATCAATAAAAAAACCATTACATACACTATCACGAATTTTACATTGAAAATAGATTAAATATTACTTTTTGGCGGGAACGCTAGTAGTGAAGTTGTGTGATTTGTTTTATTTTGTCTATTTAGTGTTTCTTCAGGTTTAAATGTGTAATAACGGTGGTTTATTAACTGTTTAATATCTGTGAAAGTGCACAAATGTGGGAAAATAAAATAAAGCCGCTGGACGTAACTTTTCGGGATCCTCCAAAAAGTCCACTGAAAAAATCTCAGTAAATGACCACCATTTTACTAAGATTATATTTCAGCCCATATCATCTCATTTCATTTAATTTCATCCCAGTTGATTAATGTCTCAAATTAATCATCTTCATTTCATTTCACTCCATATTATCATTTTTCATAAAAATAAGAATATGAATTAAAATAAGACATGACTTAAAGGTCTTAGTGACCAAGTCATAAAATCCCTTAAAAAATATAGATTAAATATTGTTTGTCTTTATTAATATTTGACTAAAGTGTAGTCTTGGCGAAATGTGTGATTATAGAAGTTAAGTTATATAATAGTGTACAAACTTATAATTTAAATTCATTATAGTCGTATTTCGACTTACGGGGACAACTAGTACAATATACATATGTAATGAAAAAACCTTTATTAATTAAAGCTTTTTAGTTTTTAAAGAGGATTTTTCTTCAGTGTCATTTTCTCATTAAGTGAAATCTGTCATTCAGTTCAAAAGAAAGTTCAGATTTGTGTAACATATTAATACTGCTTAAAATAATAATTTTAGAAGAGATTAAGGGTTTTAAATTTTGTTTTCTTATTATATCACAGAAAACACAATTAATGTTTATTTATTGTGAAGTATTCTATATCATTAAGTGCATTATTATATCAGCTTTATAGACCGTGGATAACAACAATGCCAACTGCTCTAACTCTATAGCCAGTATTCTTTCATTCATTAAAAATTTAATGAAACTTATTTTACCCTTTGACTGCCGTGTAGGTCACTGGTGCCCTACGTGGCGCACTGAAGTAATTATGTCGATTTCTCTTACTAAGGCGCCGGAATATCTAGCAAACTCTGAGAATAACGAATACGAAGATATTGGGAATGAATCTATTTGTAGGAGACCTAGAGACTAGTTAGAATAGGGACAAATCTGGGATGTCACAATACTTTTGTTGAGTTGTTAGATTTAACTTTGTTGAACTGCAAAATTACTTTTATTTAGTGTTTAAGAATATTAAATAGTTTAATTTAGTCTTCAAAGTTTTGTAACTCATTAAATATATTAAAAAGTTAATTACCTAAAGTTAGGTACCTAGGTACCTAGGTAAGTCGGGCGTCCTCGGGGTGGCGCCGCGTGTCTGGTTGTAGTGTTGACCGCGGGAACCCCCCTACTCTGAACGGGTTCTGACCCCGAACGGAGATCGGGTGTAAGAGTGCGGGGGAGTCGTTTAGTGGGTGGCCCCTAAAATCCTTGGGCCCGCGATCTGCTCTCAACACCTTGCAGATCGTTGAGTCTCACATACCCCGCGCGCCCCCTAAGCGCGGGGACCACGTGGGAGGTTCGGCCCCCGGCCCGAAAAAAAAAACAAGTACCTACCTAACAACTAAATAGTGCCAACCCTATCGAAAAACTCTATTCTGCCCATACGTAACCTGATTCACTCCAAAGCCAAGGTGAATCGGGTCAAGCTAGTTTTTTCAGTTTTTGTGTATATTTTGTAATGGATAATAGCGCATCGTATATAAAATTTAAGACTCCAGAACTATTTCAATTTTATTGGTAATTAATTACCCTTAGGAAAAGCCATTGAAAATTTGTGTTGCATTTGGAAAGGGTCCCGATTCCCCCCAATCTACAGTACATTAAAAACAAAAGAACGAAAAGTTAGGAAATCCAAGCACTTACGTAGGGCACCGGTGACCTACACAGCAATCAACGTGTTAAATTATTAATTCTTACTTTACGTATATAAAGATGTTATTTCATTTATTTGTTAAGAGATAAAATAAATGAAAACCGACAATACAGGATCCCCAATTAAAATATCATGTTCAACATGTAATTATGTATATTGCCATTATATAAAAACTGCGTCTTACCTAGGGTCCCCCCGGTGAAGTCTCTGTACGTGAACACGTAGGCCAGACAGAAGTCCTCGTGGTTGCCAAGCGAGTGGAGATTCAGGAAATTCGAAACGTCAACGTTCGTTAAACAGAACTGATTCATTTCGTTCGGATAACGATTGTTACACAGTGAGTTGTCGTCGATCTGTCGAGCACAAATATCAACCTTAAAATGAACATCTAAAGTTCTTATTTAATTAACCCTTTGAACGCGAACCTTCGATAGATCGACTCTTTATTAATGCTTATAAAGTGCGCAGCGTCGGAATACCGACGATTGCGCAGTTTGATTACGGGTATTAGATATCAACTTGTACGGACGTGTCTTAGTGCATGTATAACCTTTTTAATAAGTTAATAATAGCATTTTATAAATAACCATTTAAATTTATTTTAGTTTGAATTTAGCATTGATTTTTATATTATTATAAATTAAAGTTTATTATAAGGTACTTTTCTTCGAAAATCTTTTAACAACTTTTGCAAAATATGTGCAAATAAGCTTAACACTAAAAAGATTAAATAAAAAAAGGTTTGATTTTTTTTTCTAAATCTTATAAAACACACCCTGTATTTTTTACTTTTCCATCTAAATTTATCGTTCGTTGTTTTATTCAAATACAAAATTATGTATTTGAATAAATATTTTATTTTCTACGTTTGTTGTTTTTATATTTGAGATACATTAATGATTCTATTGACGGGTCCTACGTAGATTAAGTGCAAAAACGCAACTTTACAGGAGAGCGTTTTAAAAGTTCAAACGGTTGTAACTCTAACATAGTTCAACTTTTTTGTTTTTTTTGGAAATGTTATACCTGAACATCTTTAAAAAAAGATCGCATACTTATTTATTTTTTATTTTTTTGTAGTTTAGAAATACTTAAGCTTCACTTGTATTCACCTATATGGTTTTCCTTAAAGTGTGTTGTTTCCTTAAAGTGGTTGTGTGTGTTTAACACGAAAACTAGTGTATGTGACCACTTGTAGCAGTTTAAAGTGTTTTAGATTTTGTGAAAATTAAGGAAAACAGAAAAATATTACAAAATCTAACATATTTTATTTTTGTGTATATTGGTGAGCTACTGAAGCTTATTATTGACTTTTATCAAATAGAAACAAATAATTACAACATTACTGCTTCACGGCGGAAATACGCAGGGTGGTGGTACCTACCCGTGCGGACTTACAAGAGGTCCTAACACCAGTAAAAGTGATTCGAAGAGACTGTTTATTATTTTTACCTTTATTCTCTGCACTTCAAACTTGATGTCCCTGTGGTCGAATCTGCCGTCGAACTTGGCCCTGCCGTAGATGTAATTGACGGCAGTCACGTGATGCGATATGAGAGACAGGATCTCTTCCCGAGTCTTCGTGTCGACTTCGTTCTTTTTACTTGGCACATTATGCTGAAATTTCATTGAAACCAATCATTAAGTCAGTTCATATAGATACTGATCGTAAATGACGTAAGGTGCTGATCCACGTCCGGCTGAAGATTTACGGAAGCCTAGTGAAGTGAGTAACTTAGGGTTGCCACTTTTTTTTTGGCGTTGGCGAGGGGCGACATCGATTGAGCAATCGATGTTTTTCGCTTAACGAAAAAATACATATTATGACTAAACTTTTCAAAATCCCAAAAAAACGAAAACATGCCAAATAAAGTATTTTCTTGTACTTTACTGTTCACATCACGTATAGAGTACGATTACCTAAAATAACGTACAATACTCTATTATAAAGTACGGGTGGCAACCCTATACTCAATATGCGACAAATGTCCCACAATTTTTTTATACTTATAACGAATAAAGAATGACCGAATAAGTGAATACGAACGTGTTACGTTGCCACACGATCGGGGATCATTTGAATGAAAAAGAACTTAACGACCATTCGCTTGATAATAGCCTTTAAACTATATATAGCTAAAACCTATTTTGTTGCCTAGTAGTTGACACTTTAGCTCTTTTGGATTAATTAGGATGAAAATATTTGTAGATGGGTAGGTATTAAACAAATACTTACGTCTGGAAATCCCTCACGAATATGCTTCCATATTAAGGGATCTGTTTGTATGAACAGCGAGCACGTGTTGCGGTTGTCGTAGGGCGCTGCTCGACGCGAACGCGCGTGCTCGCCCGTGTTCGCGGACCGCGAATATTTATTGTGAAAATGTGAATCCCAATGTCTATTAAAACACAAAAATACACAAATATTTATATATATATGGGTGATTATACAAAAATTGGGTAACTCAATGTCATCAGCCAATATATACAAAGTCTTATTATATTTTATTGAAATACCAATTTATTTTAAAACAACGAAATGTCCTTTACTTGGTCACCCAATTTCACTTCTTTATTTTAAATACAAGTTATTAAAAAAACCAAATTAATACTTAAAACGTCAGTCCTTTGGCATGTCACAATCCCGAAAACTAACAATAAAGTGACTATCCATTAAACATTATCATTGATTTAAGAAAACTTACTAATTCACTACAATCTGTGATGTACATAGTATTATATACTACAACTTTCATAATGCAATGTTCTCCATTTTATTTAAAAAAAATTAAGAAACTTTGTGTTCGTTTCATTCGTCAGTCCGTTGTGTGTTCTTTAAAATTTGAAAATCTCGCCAAATATCACCGAGTCAAGGTCAAATCCCTGTTTAAGCTTTAATGTTGATAATAAAGTTAGTGTCGGACTGCACAATTTGACGGTCGCCATAACTGTATCAGTGCTTGGGTTGTGTTTGTCGTCTACACACGTGCGAAGCCAGTCAAAACTTCAGTCCTGTGGTGAGTCGTTATTTTCTTGTTAATGTGAGGTTTATTTTCATTTATACATAGTTAACTATGATTTGTTAAAATGTAGTTTGTTGATATTCGAAATTACCAAAAAAAACATTAGTTCTGATTATAACCTCCAATTATGCCTTTTTCGTCAGTCCGTTGGCGTCAGTCCTTNTTTCTTGTTAATGTGAGGTTTATTTTCATTTATACATAGTTAACTATGATTTGTTAAAATGTAGTTTGTTGATATTCGAAATTACCAAAAAAAACATTAGTTCTGATTATAACCTCCAATTATGCCTTTTTCGTCAGTCCGTTGGCGTCAGTCCTTTGTTAGGTATCGCGTTAGAGGACTGACGTGTCTCCATAGTACTGTTTTTTTATGTTGTTTTAGAGCGCATTTATCTTAATTGCTACCATGTATAAGCATTTCTATTTTATATTTCAGTTTAAAACATCATGCGGCACGCTAAAAGACTAGGGAAGAAATATTTAAAAAAAAGAGAGAAGCCGGAAAGGCTCGCTTGGCCAGAATTAAAAGTGATCCTATTAAATTAACGGAATAAAAAAATAAAAAAATTTCAGTACTTAAGGAAAAAAGAGAAAGGACAAAGAAAAAATGTTAAAGACATGACACCACGAGAGCAACGAATAACTAGAAAAAAAATGGAAAAATATTCATATAATTACAGGCAAAGAAAACAGCTATTGAAACCAACCACTAATAATTTTATATGACAGAATACTCCTCCACCAACTGACGACGAAATACGACCCATAGCTAATCAAGCAATCAGACCTGTTATTAACGAAGACCACAGAGCAAAAGAAGCCAAAAGGAGCAGTGAAAGACAGAGAAAATCTTGAAACAGGGAAATAAAAAGGATGGAGGCTATAGTTTCAAAGCTTAAAGCTAAACTAAATACTCAGCGTCAAAAATGTACGAGTCAAAAAACAGCTAAATTACTATTACTAAAAAAGTAATAAAATCTGTTAAAAAAACGCCAAAGACCGGAATTGAAGACATGAGAGACAAATATCTCATAAATAAAAAAAATATCATTATACAGCGGTCTGCTCTTCGGTTGATGATGAAGACGGTGAAGTATTTGTAATCACAATGGCACTCTGTTCAAAATGGATGAAAAAGATGTATCAGATGTTCCCGTGGATCAAATAATTGTACTAATTTTTATTAAATTTCATTATAATTCTTACAAAATTGTGTATTTTATCAGTACTATGTTAGCCTCGTCAGTCCCCTGGCAGTCAAATTCAGAAAATTTTAAATATCTCACAATCTATTTAAAAAAGTGACTGGCCCGATTCGGAAGAAGATAATCATTCGATTAGCCATCATATACACCCGAATTTGTAATAATTTGATTTAATAACTATAGTAAACAAAATATCCTCAATAGTTACCCAACTTTTGTATAATCACCCATATATATAGGTTTAAAAGAAAATTAGCAAATCTTAATTTAAACGGAACACAATTCGACAGTTGAAAGACTATTTTTTTTGTTTAAGCGACATTTCGCTTAATACGCAACATTTATCTTTATAATTAAAGGTGCGTTTTATTTGGTATTAGAATCAATAGTTCGATGTTTTTAATTGAACTTCAATTAAGTTTACTCCATTCAAATAGATGAAGAAGTATGTTTGTTATGATATTTTTTCAAAATTTTAAACATTAAATATCTCCTTGTAAAGTTGCAAAAATGTCGCTTAAATCTAATAGCCTTTGACCGATCGAACTTATTTTGCTAAGTAGAAATAAGTTGTCATTTTAAGACATTTCCTTCGCTTTTCACATTTACTTCTCTTTATCACTACATAGTATAAAACAAAGTCGCTTTCTCTGTCCCTATATCCCTATGTATGCTTAAATCTTTAAAACTACGCAACGTATTTTGATGCGGCTTTTTTTAATAGATAGAGTGATTGAAGAGGAAGGTTTATATGTATAATAAGATCCATTAAATAGTGGAGCAATACTGTTATTTTTGAGGTTTCTAATGTGATGTCGTAAATAATCAATAATAAAATTTCATGTTTCCAAAGAGAAGCGAGGGCGGGTCGCTAGTCTATACTAATATTATTTAATTTTGTTAACACAAAAACAGTGAAGCTATCATTTTTTGTATAGATATAATATTTTTATACCTTGGCATATCATCTCTTAAGCTATTGGGATGAGGCGAGGGCGAGCCGGAGGTGTGAGTGTGTGGTGGAGTTGCGACAGTAGGCGTGGACTGTGAAGATGCCGGCGACGTGGGAGATTCATCGTCAACTCCAGAGTTCTGAATGCGTTCCATCCATTGGACCACTTCATCGGTTATACCGCATCCGCCGACGTGACCTAGAATATTTATGTCGATACATATAAGCAAACCGACAAATATGGCAATTAAAAAAGAATGTACATATTATCCAGCATTGAAACCCGACTGTGTTTTTAGGGTTCCGTGACCAAATTACAAAAATACGGAACACATTTTGTCATTTACTATATATTCTCGGGTTCGTGATTTCAATTCGTATGTAATAAACAGTTTGCTCGATAACTATTGGTATTCTGTCGTATATCTACATACAAATCACATACTAAAGCCCCATTTTTAATGCTTCCCAGAGCAGATGGGCCCACGAGCCGCCTAGTTACCATTAGCCGCATTCATGACATCAGCAAAGCCAGCCAGCAAATAAAACCAGCCTGCTATCTACCGCTGATTTTCAAACCTCATTTCGTATGGACATGTTACAGGAGGAATTAATTCGTGTGGTGAATAGTAATCCAAAATAATCTTTCGAAACGTAATAAGATTGAAGGCAATTGTTGTTAGTGGTTATAATAAATGAGCTCTGCTCCATTGGCCGGCAGAGTAGTGGCTAAATCCTACAAATTATATTGTATATGGTATTTTTGGATATGTGGAATATCTTCTATGCACGCTGCTTATGTTTAAACAGTAAAAATATTATTAAATGTATGTAAATGTAATGTAATTCTTCAAACGTGAACGTTCAAACCAACTACGGAACCCTTCACGCTTATTTCTCCGAAACGGGCTTGCTGCTTTTTTCTTAATTCCCTTTAAGAAGCGTTCCCTGTTTAGGATCGTTCGAAAGGCGTGTCGATGAGAGAAAATCTCTTCAAACAAGGAATTACTGTACGACCGTGTCATATTACAATAGCAAATAGACACGGCACCGTACATACGTACGTGTCTCGACTACAACAAGACGAATTACCGAGATTTATAATCCGGATCAGTTCGTGGCGTTCGAGCGAAGAAATTAATTCCACGTATCGCTTTTGTTAAAACGTACAATAAAATGTATAATAATAATAATAATAACTGTATAATAATAATAATAATAATAATAATAATATCCAGCTGGGTTAAGGGCCTAATACAGAAAGCAGTTATCCTCGATACTGCACGCATTGTGAGGACGTTTCTCACTCTGGAGTCCTAACCACTGGTGGCTTGTGTCGTAGACACCGCCATCAGCGGCAATCTATTTTTATAGTGTTTTTTAAAAATTGAATTTTTAATATCTTTTTAAAAAATATTATTTAATTAATAAGATTTTAAATAAATATAAATAAATAATAATAATAATAATAAACAAAACATTTATTATAAGCATCCCTTTTTCGAATAAATTATACAAGGTTTGAAAATAGTCTCTGAAGTGTAATCAGGATGATATTTTAAATTATTCATGATAAATTACAAGTTTGCGGCACGAGTTACTTACTGGGGGAGGTTCGAAAGAAAAACACAACACGATCCTATCCGTGAGCGCTTCAGTGTAAATACGCTGAAAGGCTGACGACACAAACTCTTTGCTATACCGGCTGTGTTGTGATTTATCAAGCTAGTTCCGTTAGATTTATAACTCTAATATACATTAATCTGTATTTGTTTGTTTTTATACGTCTTTCATTCCTGTTACCGAAATCGATGTAATACAGATTGAATTATTGAAGTGGGCGTGGTTTGATTACCCTTGTAAATACGGAGGCTAGTACGAAGTGCCTAAACAAAGCCTTTGGTTTGTTTAATGATAAATTCAATGCATCGTGCTATTAAATTTTACAACATAAATTACTATCCATTGCTTTTGTGAAAACCGCAGTCCCTATCGAATGCATCGTGCGACAATAATGTTCAAATACCACAAGTGTGTAAATAATATTTTAATAACGCAAATAAATAAATAAAATATATAAAATGAGTGCGAAGAGTTTCTCAATACCGTTGAATTTTTTATGTTTGTTACCCCAAAACTGCTTCATTAATCACACTACCTACATTAGGAAAATTATTATTTTTTGAAGAATCGATTCAGTAGTTTGGTTTTTAAATCAGTATAACCGAATAAAATATATCGTCCTAGTTAAACGCGAGTTTGTTCATTTTTTTAATACATATTGTCGACCTTTTTTCTAACGCAATTTTTAATTCACGAATAAGCATATCGAAAATAAAAATATTCGTGAAATTTTGTTTTATGCTAGGCCAGGTCTTACTTAGACTACGCTTGTAGGCGTGTTCTCCATTCAAGGATTTATACTCCAATAGATCCACAGCGGAAGTATGCAACCATTGTTTCCGTGGCTCTCCATTATTTCCCATAGTTGGACATCTGGGCTGACCGAATGTACTGGTATGTAGCTATTACTGGGACACGAGTTTAAATTGTTTGTTGCATTGTTTAAAGAATTTTCACGTCCTTACGAATCCATCAGATCCAATAACCCTTGCATTATACACCTTCAGCTAGGAGCCGGCCTAGGGAACCCTGTATCCATTCTCATTGAACTCGGCAAGGAGTTCGTCGTGCAACCTAACTCATGCATCAGCCCGCTGAGTTTCTTGCCGAATCTTCTCCGCGGTTCGCGATTCCGATCCGGTAGTAGATTCATTTGCGAAGCAGCTGCTCTCGAGTTGTTAGGTCTCCTTCGGAGGCGCTCGGGCAGCTGTTAACTAATCCCACCACTCCTGGCTGAGCCTTTGCTCGCACATCTGTCCTGGTGAAACTGGAAAGGCCTCAGGGCCACCAGTAATCCTTCAATAATAAAAAAAAACCAGAATTTTAAACAATAAATATTATCTCCAGAGGTTTGAAGTTAAAAAAAAAAGGACTAAATTCGGTTTTTCGTTTTAGTCGTATGTCGCATAAGCGCGTATTGGCATTTTGCATCCGGCGAGTTGAATTTTAACGAAGCACCGTGGTCGGGGAGGCTAGACGGTCTGATCACGGAAATTACCGCCCCCCGGGTGCACAGAGCTCAGTGCATTAATTCTTAGTACACATTTTTTTTTTCAACTCACATTATCTTTTCATCAAAGCAGTTGCGATACGAACCAATACAAACCGTGAGTTGATAATAGCATTAAAAAAGGTAAAAGAAAAAAAAAATAATAACATAAATTGATTAAATCACTTACATAACTGTGTTTATAATTGCGATTGTTTACGAAACACGTGTGTTTTGATTAATGAACGGAAAATTAATTAAGATCGCATTGATTGGAACCACTAAGATTACCATCGTTATCGAGCACTAATTCTAATCTTAATAATTCTATATGACCGTTAAAGTACTCACATCAGAAATTACGTATTACGGAATTCAAGTAACCAGTAAACATGGTGACACATGACCAGTCATGAACCACGGACCCAACTTTATGATGTAGGCATATTTTAAGTCGTCGTTGCCTAAAGGATAAGACGTCCGGTGCATTCGTGTTGAAGCGATGCACCGGTGTTCGAATCCGAGGCGGGTAGCAATTTTTCTAATGAAATACGTACTCAACAAATGTTCACGATTGGCTTCCACGGTGAAGGAATAATATCGTGTAATAAAATCAAACCCGCAAAATAATTTGCGTAATTACTGGTGCTAGGACCTCTTGTGAGTCCACGCGGGTAGGTACCACAACCCTGCCTATTTCTGCCGTGAAGCAGTAATGCGTAACGGCTTGAAGGTTAGGGCAGCCGTTGTAACTATACTTGAGATCTTAGAACTTATATCTCAAGATGGGTGGCGCATTTACGTTATAGATGTCTATGGGCTCCAGTAACCACTTAACACCAGGTGGGCTGTGAGCTCGTCCACACATCTATGCAATAAATAAATAAAAAGGCCGATTTCATTGCCTTTCCTCAGTCAGCTAGTTCGATTGTAGGGACTTCAAACCGACACGTGGGATCGGACGGAATTGAACCGAAATTAAACTTAACAACGCTACAATAGCGCTCGTTTATTGAAAGTCCCTTCAGGTAAACTTAGTTAAATGCGAAGGGAAAGGGCCGGGAAAGTGAACGACAAGTTTTAACAAGGGCCCGTGAAGCATCGTTTTAATTACTGGCCCTACATCGCCCTTCCCACTCATAATGCTACTGAAAGCGTTACTTTAATATCGAAGTTGCTTCATCTATTTAAATATTGTTCGAGCGGAAAATGAATGAATGAACAATTTCGATTTTTTTAAAATACATATATAAATAATAACTCGAGATTTAAACGCAATGGACCAATCTCGTCCTTAAATAACAGCGAATTTTTTTTGGAACTTTACAGATGTAAGTAAGGAAAGAATATCATAACAAAAAATCTTATTCAGCTATTTGAATGGAGTAAACTTACTGGTGGTAGGACCTCTTGTGAGTCCGCACGGGTAGGTACCACCACCCTGCCTATTTCTACCGTGAAGCAGTAATGCGTTTCGGTTTGAAGGGTGGGGCAGCCGCTGTAACTATACTGAGAACTTAGAACTTATATCTCAAGGTGGGTGGCGCATTTACGTTGTAGATGTCTTTGGGCTCCAGTAACCACTTAACACCAGGTGGGCGGTGAGCTCGTCCACCCATCTAAGCAATAATTTTTTTTATCTTGGGATCCTCCAAAAAGTCCACTGAAAAAATCTCAGTAAATTAACCACCGTATTACTGAAATTATATTTCATCCCATAATATCATCTCATCTCACTTCATTTAATTTCATCACAGTTGATTAACGTCTCAAATTAATCATCTGGCGCATTTACATTGTAGATGTCTCTGCGCTCCAGTAACCACTTAACACCAGGTGGGTTGTGAGCTCGGCCAACCATCTAAGCAATAAAAAAAAAGTTCAATTAAAACATCGAGCCGTTGATGTTGATACCGAATAAAACGCATCTTTTATTCCAAAGATAAAAGTCGCGTATTAAGCGAAATGTCGCTTGAATCAACCCTAGCCTTTCACCCCTCGATATAAACAGCACGTGTAAACTAAATTAATCTTACTAAAATTCGTTCAATGTGAAGTTTAATAAAAAAATATCATCATTATGTACAGACGAAAATGAATTGGTTCATTACGTTTCAATCTCGAATTCGTATCGAATTGAATAAATTACGGTGTATATAATGATAGAACATAATTCAAGAAATAAATTCGAGCTATTGATAATAACAGAAAAAGAAAAAAAAAACGATACAGCACACAATTTTGTAATGCAAATGTTTTTTCTGCAATACGCGACACCCTTATCCGGAGGGGACAACATTCAAATATTACTTCGAGAGTAGGGGGGTGTATACGAATGAGCACTTGGCTGCAGACTGTTCGTTTTACAAAGAACGTATAGATGTAATCGGGGATGAGGTATCACAATGCAGACGCTCCACTAGGAAAGCAATGCGTAACAAGATCGTTTTGTTTACATGTATTTCGAACCCACTCATCGGATGTCTCAAGCGATCGATAAATCGTGTCTTTTTTCATCATCTTACACAAAATTGTGAAATTTCGGATGTCCTCGGAAGGACTGAAATGAGATTGTACACAACATCAGCTGTTTATGTAACAAGACGGGAAACTCGGGAATTGTAGATAATTATATTAAACGTGCCCCGCTTACAACCAAATATCCGATATTATTCTGTGTATATTCCTCACATCGTAAATAAAGTATTCAGAACTGAAATCATTTGATCCACTTTAGGAGATATTGCTAAGCTTACACAAACAAATCAATGCCTATAGAAGCATTTAATGCGATATACTAGTTTGTTTTTAGAACACCCCTTTTCTGTAGCTGACATGTAATCTTGTTTCCTTCTTTATGACAAAAAAAGGCTTTTTATTTAGACGATTGTAGTCTTTCATATTTAAATAAAAGCTCCACGGGGAGCGGGTATCGAGGAGCACCCCCTCGGTGCTGCTGTTCAATAACTCGTAATGAAAACAAATGTAGCTACAAGCGCGACCCTTCCTGTTTATTCAATACCTACGCATTTATTTCCCGATCGAATGTAATTTTCACAAAGGAAAGAAAACGTGGAAATGCTCCGCGCTATAGAGATTCCGTATAACACAATTGTAGTCAGTATGTAGTTTTCTTTTTATATTATTATATTATAGTAGTAACTATACTTGAGACCTTTTAGAACTTATGTCTTAAGGTGGGTGGCGCATTTACGCCGTAGATGTCTATGGGCTCCAGTAACCACTTAATATCAAGTGGGCTGTGAGCTCATCTAAGCAATAAAAAAAAAGAAGATAAACGTCGTGTGAGATATTCCAAATTAACCATTTTAACGATCCAAAATATAACATAACCATGTCATAAAACTAGTTGTAATATCTAGGAAACATACAAAAAAAAAACAATCCAGGTTGATATAAATTGATATACTAAAGTAAAAAGTTTGTGAAGTTATATCAAAGTAAAGGTGGGTAAATCTAAAAATCAAATTAGCCAACACCAAGCCTCTTGTTGTTGGCTGTTTCACCTTTAAATTTCAAAAGAAAAAAACATTGTAAAAAAAAAGCACTGTATTTATTTGAGTATTTGAGGTTCAGTAGCGGTGCATATTCAAATGAATCATCGTTCGTAGGAACATTGGAAATTGCATCTACAACAGGGTTGAATACTACAAAAATGCAAACTCGGCGGGCGGGGCGGTGTTGTTGACGCTCAATTACCATACCGGTGCGGCCTACGGACGAATGAATATGTAACGCGAATTTCGGGCTGGCTCGGCGACAATGCGAATCGAACTGTATTTTAGGTCAACGTTCGTTAAATCTTATATTGTACCTTTAAACGAGCAATTCTTGTATATACTTAGTCTGGCCATAAATACTGTTACAATTAAAAATAAACAAAATATTACATTTGAATTTGGAATCTGTCATTTTTAAATGATTGCTCATTGAGTTTTCTCATTTTGGCGCCAATACATTGTACAATATTTTGCGATATTAAAATGGAGTGGGGTGATAAAGAGAACCGAATCGCTGTGATTGCATTACACAAAGTAGGTATGGAGCCAAATGCAATTTTTAAAACTCTCCATACGCTTGGTATTAGTAAAATGTTTGTGTACCGGGCTATTAATAGGTGCAATGAGACCTCCTCTGTTTGTGACAGAAAAATATCTGGCCGTCCACGTAGTGTTCGTACGAAAAAGGCGGTCAAAGCAGTAAGGGAAAGAATTCAAGGAAATCCTATCCGAAAGTAAAAGATTTTATCTCGGGAGATGAAGATAGCACCTAGAACCATGTCGCGTATTTTAAAAGATGACTTAGGACTTGCAGCCTATAAGAGACGTACTGGTTATTTCTTAACTGATAATTTAAAAGAGAATAGGGTGTTAAAATCGAAACAACTACTGAAGCGGTACGCAAAGGGAGGTCATAGAAATTTTTTGTTTACGGATGAGAATTTTTTTACAATAGAGCAACATTTTAACAAACAAAATAACCGTATTTATACTCAAAGCTCTAAGGAAGCTTCCCAATTAGTCGACAGAGTGCAACGTGGGCACTATCCGACTTCAGTGATGGTTTGGTGGGGTATTAGCTATGAAGGAGTGACTGAGCCATACTTTTGTGAAAAAGGTATCAAAACATCGGCACAAGTGTATCAAGATACCATTCTTGAAAAGGTAGTGAAGCCCCTTAACAACACCATGTTCAATAATCAAGAATGGTCCTTCCAGCAAGACTCGGCGCCAGGTCATAAATCTTGGTCTACGCAGTCTTGGTTGGAAACGAACGTTTCGGACTTCATCAGAGCAGAAGACTGGCCGTCGTCTAGTCCCGATTTTAATCCGCTGGATTATGTTTTATGATCAGTTTTTGAGAGCACGGCTTGCTCTAAACGCCATGATAATTTGGAGTCCCTAAAACAATCCGTACGATTGGCAGTGAAAAATTTTCCCATGAAAAGAGTGCGTGCTTCTATTGATAACTGGCCTCAGCGTTTAAAGGACTGTATTGCAGCCAATGGAGACCACTTCGAATAAGCTTTTTATACTTTAAATTGTTTTATATTTATGTATTAAACTAACACACTGTAAAAGTAATAAATGTTATTTGCAATAGAATTTTTTTTATTTTATTGTAACAGTATTTATTGCCAGACTAAGTATATATAATCTGAATCTCGGAAACGGCTCCAACGATTTTTATAAAATTTAGTATACAGGGGATTTCGGGGGCCATAAATCGATCTAGCTACGATTTATTTTCAGAAAATGTTGTTTTAAACGTGTTTTCAATAATCAACTTTATCGATAATCAACTTTATGACTCTTCCCGACATCTATTGGCGAATAATAATACTATTTATTATAATTGAGAGCAACTAACTTAAAGCCTTAAAGACACAATAACACTAAAGCTATTTCAGCAGATGGCGTGGTTAAGACACCCGAAAAACACAATTTATAAAAAAAAACCGGTCGGTCTTCGTCTAGTAGACATTATTGAAGTGTACGAAGTTGGGTGCTAAACAAATACCCGATTCATGAGGATCGAATGCGGATTACAAACTCCTAATCCGCTATAAATTAGTGTAAAGTTTTCGACGCACACACGGTGTTGCAATCAAGCGGTGACAAGCACACCGAGTGAACCGGATTAAAGTTTGTTAAACGAGATGTTGCATTTGCAATCCATTTGCTGCGCGACTGCCGGTCGTGAAACTTGTACACGGATCGAATTCCCTTTTGCAAGTTCCGTTCGGGCCAGAGCTACGTCTAATGTAAATTTTAATGGTTAATCTTGTAGCGTAGATAGTTTCGCATAATATGCGCAATTATTGGATTTATCGCCAATTGTTACAATGAGATTAATATGGATTTCACATGAATCGATATGAATTCAAAGCTGATTCATAATTTCATGTTACCAATCAAGTTCACTCCAAAATTAAGTCCTATATCCTTTTTTTTATTAAAGAAAAAAAATTTTTTTCAGACTATCACATATAGTTAGCATCCACTCCTGAATCAGTCTTAATTGGACAGTCAGAGCGTATTCATTCATATTCGTTTTCAACCTTTATTTAACAACATATTATGAATTTCGTTCTATAGTCTTAGTATATGAAACTGTTTTTAGCACTCCAAGGTATGCATATTTGTTCTGTTGATTAAATTAATCAGAATAAATCATAAATTAAATAAGCGGGCTCCGACAACAAGATAGCATCAAGTAGACTAAGCTCGTCCACGTGTCTATGGAAATTCATTTTCATGTTGCTCTTAGTTTTGGCAATTTTTTTATGACTGGCCGCCTGCCTAATGTCAGCCCCCCTTGGGAATGCTTTTGTTGACCTTGGGCTTAGGTTGTATTGGCTTTAGTGAGGCTTTGGTTCTTAGTCGCCTTCTATGACACCCATTAGCTAAGTTTGGGTTGGGGGTATTCTTAGGCGCCCACCACGCAAAAAGAACAAATAATGTTTATTTGAAAAGTAACAAAGCCACAGCCACGTGTCTATGGAAAACAATATTAAAATTCACTGGTGGTAGGACCTCTTGGGAGTCCGCACGGGTAGGTACCACCACCCCGCCTATTTCCGCCGTGAAGCAGTAATGCGTTTCGGTTCGAAGGGTGGGGTAGCCGTTGTAACTATACTGAGATCTTAGAACTTATATCTCGAGGTGGGTGGCGCATTTACGTTGTAGATGTCTATGGGCTTCAGTAACCACTTAACACCAGGTGGGCTGTGAGCTCGTCCACCCATCTAAGCAATAAATAAAAAAAAATACTACATGGTTTATTTAGTTTGATTTAACGTTAATATCGTATAAATAACAATGAAATATATCGGATGTATTAAATTTTTCACTAAGAATATTAAAACTATACTTGCATATTCATACCACAAAATATTTTATTTTCTTTGGAAGACAAACAGTGAACTATGTTTATATGTTTCATCTCGTCAGATGAAACAGTATACTCCTATTCTAACCTACCTGGCGTACACGTGCAATATTAATTAAATAGTATTTCCACTCACCGTGCCTTTTGTTAGCAAACGGATCAATGACGTCACTATCTTTGTAAATAACTGAGTGGCCTCGTGTCTTCGTGTTGTTAGGTGGGAAGTATCTTCTTGCGTGTTCCACGTAGTAAGAACCGTCTTTGGCGATTATCTTCCCCTCGAAGACACCTTCCGTCACCGATCCGAAAACAGTCGAGTCTGGGTCGCCTAAAAAACAAGGAAAGAACATAATTTTAACTTGAGTAGTTACTGTAAGAATATTTTACATTTAAAGTTTGTTTAATTTAATTTTGTCAAAGTAATCAAGATTTGAAGATAATTTCCCTGATGTCGGGTTGCCGTTGCTTTTTCGGGCAGCCTGTATAATATATGTATAAATTGAATATTATTATTATACTATATAATATGTACAGCGTTGTATGTTATGTGTGTGCATCATAGATGATGTATACTGTGTGTGTTTATATATGTGTATATATATTTCTTTTTCTCAAAAAGAATGCACTTTCAACAAGAGTTTCTACACCACTTTTGGTTGTCTGGTAGATAATGCCTTAAGCATTAAGTCCACCTTTGTGCATAAAGTTGAATCAATATGTAAATAAATAATTTATCTATGAATCCATTTCTTGATTAATGTCATATGTAGTAGTAAGTCAGAAAGCTTCCATGGTATGCAAGCAACAATTGTATCAATCATTATCACAATGAGCAGAAGGGTTCAGGAACGAATGTAGTACAAACATATAATGAAATATATTTGTCGATAACAAAAACAACAAATAAAATATAAACGATCAATCCTAATTAAGGTCTTTGGGATAAAATTCGGAAAACACCGATACACGCCTATTTATTTCTAATCCGAAGCAGGTATATGAAATTCTTTCCTTTGTACAACCAATTTTACCCCCTTAGGTGTGAAATAAGAGGTGAACCAAAAGTCCTTAGTATCCACTAAGAAACGATTATATTAAGCATCGAGCTTACAACATAAAAGACATCAAATGCTCATATTTCAAGTTTCAAGCACCAGGGGATTAAGCTTTGCTTTGTCGAATCGGTCAAAATAAGTAGCCTATATTTCAAATATATTATATTTACCTATATTGAAATGTGATACCTGATGGAACTCGCTTTTGGATATAAGTTGAATATGAGCTCATCTATTTTAGTTTTCAAAAATACTCAATGCTGTTTCAAATGTACACGGAACCAAGTTTTTCCGCATCACAAACTGTAAGTGCGTTTGTTATATGAATAGATAAAACACATCCGCGATTTAAATCCGGAACCGACGGAGTTCGCCCGATACCACACTCAATTTATTATATTCATATCAATCAAATGACAACTATACGAATGTAGCTATGGAATAAAATAGTGCCATTAGTATTGTATTAGTTTACTGGTGGTAAGACCTCTTGTGAGTCCGCGCGGGTAGGTACCAACACCCTGCTTATTTCAGCCGTGAAGCAGTAATCAGGGACGTCTTAAATTAGGCTGGGGCCCTTGGGCACACAAGAATTTGAGGCCCTTTTGGAAAGTAAAAAAAGCGAATTATAATAACATTTTTTTACTGAGTATGACCATTTATTATAGGTAATCAAATACGGTATGACATAATATGTCATTAATGATATTAGAATGCTGCTGGTTTTTTGGTTACGATCACGATAGCGGAAACCGAATAAATGTGTGAGAGAAATGTGTGAGGGCCCTGGGCACGGGCCCCGTGTGCCCTTATGGTAAAGACGGTATTGGCAGTAATGCGTTTTGGTTTTAAGCGTGGGGCAGCCGTTGTAACTATACTTGAGAACTTAGAACTTATATGTCAAGGTGGATGGCGTATTTACGTCCTAGGTGTCTATGGGCTCCAGTAACCACCATGTAACCTCTAAGCAATAAAAAAAAAGTATAGAATGTTCTTTTGATCTATCCACTTCCATTTTTACAGCAGATGGGCGATAGTTACGAGGTTGTTGCTAAAACTTATAGCCACTGCCTGTAAATATGTACAACTGCAGACTTCGAGAGATTCAAACCAACAAAAATAATGTTTCCACCCATTCGAACGAAGGGACAGGTTGACTCCAAGTTGAGACGATCCAAAACCATCTTTTCGAGAGTAAAAAGCTTGAGGGGCTCCTTCCCGTGGTCCGATTTGAAGAGTGGGAAAACCGTTATCCAGTACATTTCAAATCAATTTCAATTTCAATTTCAAACTTCGACCTCATGCCTCAAAGTTTCCCTAGCGATGTCTATGGACTACGGTAAGCACTTAAAACCAGGCCAGTTTGTTTTATTTTTACATTGCACGAGTGCGTAACTAGATTGATTTTTAACCAGTAAATTTTACTAGTGTTCGACCAATGATGATATTGACCACAATTACTGATGATTCCCGATCCTGCGGACAGAATGGAAAGCAGTCGACGTCGCCCAAAACACGTCATCTCGGATCCTCCCGATCCACTAACGGTGCTTCTAGGTACTTCAAGCACCGGTCACCGTTCTCGTCGAACCTGTCGCTTGCGACGAAGGGCTCGACGAGTAAATTAACTCTCAGACATAGCCTACTGAGTTTCTCACCGGATCTTCTCAGTGGGTCGCGATTCCGATCTGGTAGTAGATTCTGCGAAGCACGACTCTTGCTAGGGTTCGTGTTAGCATCGTCGTCAGGTTTGAGCCCCGTGAGCTCACCTACTAGTTACGGTTACGCTGGAATAGCCGCTCCAGGCTACCAGCTTAGGTAGAAAAAAAAACTGATGATAACTCAAGATTTAGATAAACTTTGTTTTTTATTTTATTTAGTCTTTAACTTCCTATGTTCAATTTTTATTATTGACAACACTAAAGCTCGTCAACTGTTACCAAACAAAAAAGAAAAACGATCAACATACAGAGAAAACTGTAGTTAGCTGTTTTGTCTGTTTACGTGTAGATTTCCGTGAAGTTTGTTACCAAGTAAAACTTTTTATTATCATCATAGTTTCCAGAGATATCCTAATATCTTTTATTTTACAAGCACAATTAGCACAAGTTTCGTATACGTATTTGGTATACGGAATAACCGCAAACAAATTGTCGCAAAAAGCCAATTCCGAAACTGCGAAAACAAACATATTTTCTTATATTCTCGGTTTTCACTGGAATCACGCTATTTACATTTCTGAGATGAACGCGCGGCCGGTTTGAACTGTAATTACATTTATTGGATTTCGATATTAACGACCCATATTCGTGACGTTGTAGGTACGATGATTACGTTATTCGAGGAAGACTAACCGAAACGGACAATTTCAATTTGGGTTGATCGGGTTTCCGAAGCTGTTTGCGATTTTGGATCCGACTGAGACTGCTTGGGTTATCCCTGTAACGGACTGGTAAGCAGAAGATTCATTATTTTTGTTTCTTCTTTCACATAATTAAAAAAAAAAAATTAGGTCTTTACTTATGAAGTTGTCGTTTAGTATAGTCAATTTTTATGTTTTTTGACGTGACAACATCTTATAATACGATGGAGCCGGCTACACGCACGAAAAAACATGACTCATGCGGCGTTACCTCGCTCTGAGGCGTTCCATTTAAGGCTTGAAGTGCAAGCGAGAGCGCGCAACAAGCGACAAAGAGGCACAATTGGCCTCCGCGTTCGGCAGCGTTCGACATCTCTCCCTCTCCTACTTGAGTGAGCGATGCATCCGCGTGGACAGCTGCTATACAAAAATATATTTACATGTTTTCGTCAAGTATGAAGTTCAGTGAAAAGTTGAAAAATGAAACCATTCCATCAGTATTTTCTTATGACGTCGTCACGTTCAACATCGTCAGTAAACCGACTTTACAGACAACCGACTTTTTTTAATTTTTATTAATCAAAATACGCACCCACGCAGCGCAGTAAGAAATTTTCAATGCCCTTCTTAAATAAATAATTTGCACGGGAGCCAACAAACTCTTCAAAGGGATTTTGTACTGCCTTGCGGTATTAAATTGTTCCATGCCAAAAATTTCGAACTTTGGGAAAAGTAGAAGTCTGTCCGTGGAAGATCTGGTGAGTACGATGACGTAGCAACTCATGTATCTAGCTTAGAGACCATTTCTCGTGTCGTGTGTGGTGAGAGTTGTCATGTAGGAGCAGCGGTGAAGAGCGATTAACCAAGGTTGGTCGGCGATTCGTGGGTTTGTCACACACACTTCATACATATCCGCAGTAATACTAGTACCGTTCGTTTGGTAAGAGAAACTTGATGAATTATACCGGCAGTAGACCACCAGAGAGTGGCCAAAACTTTTTAAGGGTTAGTTTTCGTACGGGGCGTTGCGTAAGTGCTGAACCGGGGTCTGACCAGCATGATGAACGCTTACGATCGTTAAAAAGAACTCATTTTTCATGGCAAGTGACAATGCGGTTCTATGTACCTTTCTTTTGTGTCTATTAAGCGACGCTAGCAACGCCTTAACGCGTTACACTTATCAAGTTTATACGTTATCAAATTTGACGAAATGGACCAATATTGTTTTGATGCTAACATTGAAAGTTGCTGCTAATTCAGCGATATATTAAGTATCGTCAGTTTCAAGGATCGTCTTTAAATAGTCGTTGTTGACTTTGATTAAGGACCAGAGAGTTCCTTATTTAAATAAAAATGTCCATAGCGGAAGCGTTCAAACCATAACGATCGAACGATAATCGTGCGTTCTTTTGTAGTGTTCACTCCATATGCGTTAATAACGTTGCTAGCAGTTTGTGTGGAATTGTTGCCGCGACGGAACACGTGTTCTATAATTACACGTGCTTTTATCATAATAATATCCATATTGATGAAAGATACTAATGGAGTGAAAATAAAACACTAGTCAGTAAACAAATGACTGATTTTGAGAAAATAATTCAGTATCTTTAAAAAAAAGTCGAATTTATTGCCAGCCATACTTAAATTACGTTTCAAACGGCCAGTACCTTTCTATTATATTTATGACGAAGGAATTAATTTTGGATTCAATAGAAACAGCTACACAGGGTATTATTAAAAAGAAAGCAAACAGAATTGGTTTATTACGTAATGTTTTTTATTTTTTTTTATTGCTTTGATGGGTGGACGAGCTTACAGCCCACCTGGTGCTAAGTGGTTACTGGAGCCCATAGACATCTACAATGTAAATGCGCCACTCACCTTGAGATATAAGTTCTAAGGTCTCAAGTA